CGAATTTCCAGTAGGTATGAGATGCAAAGCCGTATTTTATTTCAAAACGAAAGAAAAAAGACACTACAATCCCAAAATCAAACGAATTCACTCAGAAATGGCGTATCTCTACAATCGACATGCCATCTCTACTGCTCAGAAGCACTCGACATGAACTCTAACGTTAGCCTTCGACAAATGTCGCATTCGACATCTCCAGAATAGCAACTTTTAAAATTTGACGAAAAAATGACGTCATTAGACATTTTTGTCGAGTTCGACATCATCTCTAAAGCCGAGAATTGGCCCCCTGGCGGAAGCCCCCGAAACCGCACTTACCCTTCGACATCTACCCGAGCGTACGGCGCGTCGCGTTCCGCGCGCGCCTCAAAGAGCCATCAGACCACCACGGATGGGGCCCAAATAGGGCCGATGCCGATTCGGAGTCGCGGAGAACCTAACGGGTAACCGGGGCTCCGGCTCGACGTACAGGAGAAGGAACGGGGTGGTTTTTAGTCAGTAAGAGTCTGACACTAAAGGCGGGAGCAGCCATTCGATGATTTTCCCCACTTAAAAAAAAATAAACCCTCCGACATCTCCGCGCCAGACATCTCTATTGCGGAGGATTCTGAGAGGGCAGCGCTCTCAAGAGCCCTACTCTCTGCAGCCAATTGCTCGGCTGACTCAATGCGGGCAGCTGCTGCCGGTCTCTGGCAGCCGCTGCCCTTGCCGCCGCTACCCCGCGCCGTGGTAGGGACATTTGGAAGAGGGGCCCCCTGCACGCTGGAGGACGGGGACAAGGATCCTCCTCCAGCGTGGGACGTTTGAACGTCGTCGTAGGGGGTGAGCCTATTGCCATATACCGGGCGCAATTCCAGACTTCGTGCTACTACTGAGACTATTTGAAATTGAGTAGAAAAACAGTCTACTTACAAAAATGTACCTAAATTTCTAGCATTTACAGTTGATTTTTAAATAACAAATAATTACAACAGTTTAATATGATTTATTATTAGAAGATTAAACTTTGTCGCATATGAAACACAGTACTTATTTCTATGTCAATACAAATAAATAAAAATCTAAAACAACATTATTGCTATTGAAATATAGACCATAAGTCCATACTTTAAAGTTGATAGTTCTATAACTAGTTTATTCTTCAGGATATTCCTCTTCAGGCGGCATTTCTTCCTGTTCATCAAATTCAGCATCATCAACTCCAACCTCCTGTAAAAATCATATTTTTTTCATTTATTTTTTTAAACATAGGTTTTTAATGGGCTTACGTGTGCCCACTATCTCGTCTGGTGGTGCACGATGACGCGGTCTACGATGGAGCACGTCGTCCCATAAGCAACCTATTCACTCGGGCCTTGAAGACACCCAGGTTATACCCTTCAGGAAATACAGACTCTGGCAAAGAATTCCACTCCTTACCAGTACGCACAAGGAAGCTTGAAGCGAAGCGCTTCGTACATGTGGGCGGAACATCTACCATGAACCGCTTCGCCGATTGTCTTGTGGTACGATGATGGAAAGGACTAGAGGGAATCAAGTTGTGCAATTCCCCCGCACACTCACCGAAATGTATTTGATTTTAGCGTCTCAGCTTTAGAGATCACTTTAGACAACTTGTCGCCAAAATTATTTATTTATTTCTTGTAAGACCCGGAACAACAATTTGTGGATCACAGAAAGAGTTGTTCCGTGCGGGAATCGAACCCGCTACACGTTGCAAGGCAGCCGGTTTACGTGTAAAGTATAGCGAATGTGTTCATCGTAGAAATTGTCGATCCTTCCCCCTGAAGATGGGGGCCCTGGGCACGGGTACCGAGAGAAAATTAAGGGTGGACAACTCGAAGAAGCTACCACATAAGGTATAGATGGCACGAGAGAGTATGGAGAGATTGTCAGAAATAAAAAAATAATTTATCAATATATACTTTTATTTGTCATGTTAGCATACATAACTTCACGCCTGTCTCCCATGGGGGTAGGCAGAGACTATAGAACGCCAATTATTACGATTCCTACATACCTCTTTCGCTTCATCAACAGTCATCAATCTTTTCATGCATATATATATAAAAATTAATTATTACTATATTTTTACTGTTGGTTGAAATTGAATAATTCTTTTAGTGTCGGATAGTCCATTTATCGAGGAAGGCTGTAGGTTATATAACATCACGCTGAGATCAATTGGAGCCGAGCAGCGAGTGAAACCGTGGAGTATATAGTTCATTATTATTATTTTCCCGAGCTCAGCTGTCTTTCAGCGCTTTCTTTAGTAATTCTATTTTCAACAATAGATGTTGTTTTTCCAATTCGTGTATTATCTCTTTGTGTTGCAGTTCTTTCTCTAGAATCTTTCGTTGTATAAATTTTTGTTCTAATTCCTCCGTCAATATTCTCCTTTGCAACTCTTCTAGTTCTATTTTATCTTCTGTCATCGTTTCACTTGGTGCTTCTTGTAATTCAACTGAAATAAAAAAGGTAGTTTTAGTAAAAACATCGGGTAGAGCTGTACCGGGACAAATGACCGTTGGTTTTAACGTGAAATGTCCATTTTAAACTGTCAAACACCAAGCGGTCACCGGTGACCGCAACCTATTGTTCTATAATTGTGTCTACAAAACCGGTACTCGACGAGTTAAGTGACAAGCGAGAGCGCAGGTTTCGCACAGTTAACGCAGTATAGGGATACTGCGCCGCCCCGCTCGACCCCGACGGCATAACAGCGAGCGAGAGTTTCATATGATTATATAGTAGAATCAGCTTGCTGTTATGAAAAATGTTAAAGTGAAATATTCACACCACATTTTTGTTTTTAAGACTAATAGTTTTTTAATTATTAAGGTATGATGATATAGACCTTTTCGTTATGATCCACTTTTTTAACCTGGTACCCGTATGTTTCGGCGCTATTCTAAAGATGTTTCACATCAAAAGAAAAAAAAACTAAGCAATAAGGCTGCCTTTGTACCCTATTTCCTCTTATAGCTCAATATACTATCTCAAATTGAAGGTGTCCAATAAAGATTCCATAATATTCTAAACTATCTGACCTGGCCCTTCATAACGCTTATAATTTTTAATCTCACCTTTTAAACCTTCCCACGAACATTCCAAGATCAAAATTAGCCAAACTGGCTCAGCCGTTCTCTAGTTTTAGTGAGACTAACAAACAGGAATTAATTTTTTATTTATTATGATTATCATCAACAGCGGGAGACCGTCCACTGCTGCACTACGAGTCTCCTCTACATAAGAGGGTTTGACACAATCTCCGCAGGCAGGCGGGTTGGAGATTGCAGAATAAAAGGTTCAGGTTTACCATCATGAGAGTGCTGATGCATGGTCTCTGTTGTGTGATTGTGTGTAAACCTTTTTAAAATATGTAGTTATGTCAATAGACTTACTCACTTGGGACTCATAACGTAAATAGTGAAAAGTGGGTGTTATATTGTATATTTGCACCTCTGTTTACCCCTCAGGGAATTAAATGGTATAAAGTAAAAAATCAAAACACAGTAATAAAAAAATTTAAAACTTACTTTCTGGCGAAATAATGTCCGACTCGACAACCTCGCCTTCGGGTTGCAGAATAAAATCTTTAATTTTTTTTTCAGCGGGTGTGAGCACAGGCCTAGACGGCTTACTACCTACGTCTCCGTTTTTATATTCTGTGGCCACATACATCATACTCTTGCGTCGCGCGTCTCGTTTTAACGCTTCATATTTATGCTTCAAATGCTTGTGATCTCTATAAACCCAGTCTGTAGACCTATTAAAATTCTTTTCTATCTCCTTCCAAGCTTGTTCCTTAGCTCTCCAGGTGCTAGAATCGCTTTTTTTACATTCTATTATTTGTTTTTTAGCCGCTATTAAAGTAACCAATAGATCGGTTTCTTCCTCTGAAAAGTTGGCGTTTCGTTCGCGTTTTTGTTTTTCCATTGCTTTTTTGTGTTATGTGGGTGGTTTTAAAGCTTCTTTTTCGCTTTGTTTTTGTTACAACAATAGAGGCAGATTCAAAATAAATAAACGCAAAACATCGCGAAGAGTTTTGACACTGACAATGACAAATGGCAGCTGACAGCTATATTATGACATATGCGTTACCAAGTGTTTATTTAAATATCATAATTTATATAACTACATAAATATTTACAACTTAAAATTAACTACAACTAAACTATTAAATAAAAAGAAAGTAAAAGAAAACAACAAAAATTATACCCTTAATTTAGGCGTCAAAGTATTCGTCCGCATCACTATCACAGGGGAAAGTTCCCAGAAGACTGGCAGCATTGCCACGTTGAATGGCAATGCTTATTTTCTGTCCGAAGAAAAAGCCAGCCCTCTGGTCACGTGTAGAGTCGATTAGCCTACGGGCGATGTCTTTAAACACAGAGTGTGCACTGGGACCCCATGGCCCAAGTGTTTCGACCCCAAACGGCTCAAAACAGTAGTTACCCACTAGATTTGAATATTTACGCCGTTTGAGGGCCTCTGCCGCGGAAGCAGCCGCACCAACGCATGCAGCGGTGCTTAAAAGATGTGATGGCGCAAGGGTGTCTACACAAGTCGCGTCCCACACCAAAGGCCTACCCATCTTCCAAGGCAGCAACGACATACCATCTGGTCTTTTGCCGTCATCACGTACCAAACCATTAGGTTCTAATACGGCTGGTACACCGGCTGAGGCAAGAGCACGACGAATGATGTCGTTGATGCTGGCATGGCGAGCTATGCGGCCTGCACTTCTGCAACAAGAAAGACCATGGTGTCCCAAGCCATCGACTCTTTCTCCACAGTGACAATAATGCGGAGAAACACAAGGAGCACCTAAACGTAGGCATACATATGCGTTTAGTTTTTGTTGAGAGATTATTGTGAACTTATTTATTTATTTGCTAAAACTTTTTGACGTTTTATAAAAAAAGGCAAATTAATAAAAACAAAAAATGAAATAAATAAAGCTACATTTTTATCGTCTTACACTAATCGCTTCAAAATCAGCCATATTCCTCAGACCTTACATTACACTACATAATCCAATACACCGTACCTCATACTGCTGATACTCGGAGACCAGGTCATTCATATTGCTCTCAGCCTCCGTAAACTCCATCTCATCCATGCCCTCTCCTGTATACCAGTGGAGGAACGCCTGGAAGAGAATCATCATCATTATAATCCCAAAGTCGGTAATTACGACACCTGCGAGAATAGTCGGGTTAAAGGCCGCCTATAAATTACGTCACACGTTAAGGGGTAAGGAAGAGGTCGACGAAGTGTGACAAGGGGGAGGGAGGGAACCTAAACTTATGATGTCACATTTTTTTATATCTTTATTATTATAATATAGGCTTTAATGTCACATTTCAAAAACTATTATAAAACATGAAATATAATTTTATTGTATTAATGTTTCCTATTTTGTTTGATTTGGAATTAAATTTTTTTTTTTTAATAATTTAAATAGAAATAAAACTGATTTCGGAACCGCTGTTTTCATTCAATAATTTTTAAACATACGTAATTCTGCAAAATGTGGCGTCACACTAGGGGTGGGGGGTGTCACAAATGTGACTAGCTGTGACAAGGACGGCGGGAGGGGCAAAAAATCATTAAATTCGTGTGACGTAACTTATGGATGTTCTCATAGCAATAAAATACATATTACCTTACGCCGGAACATAACGGTGAACTGTTCAGATATTCTCTTGAATATCTCCTGTATTGCCGTTGTATTGCCGACGAAAGTTGCCGCCATTTTGAGTCCACGGGGCGGGACGTCACATACTGCGACCTTCACATTGTTCGGTATCCATTCCACGAAGTAACTAGAAGAAAGAAGAATTAAAAATCCTAATTTTATGGAAGAGAAACTGTCTTTGATTTTAGCAAACTGCTAAGTCTAAGGATCCTTATCAATCAGGGGTGTAGTTAGCACACTGCCGTATCAATTGTATGGACCACGGGGGACCAACGAACGTATGCAAAAATGAATAAAAACTTCCTATTTTTTTAAATTATCTCAGAAATCACATAAGTCATTTATTTTACGGTTACCTGGAAAGTTTTCCGGGAGTGTTAAATTAACATAACATACCTAACAGTTTTTGTATAATACTTTTTTTCCTGTTCATTTTACCAGAAACACGTTTACTATATGGGTTTACTCGTACACAAAACTGCGATGCGACGTCGCATCGCAAAAATGTGCGAGCTTCCTCTACGCATCGCAAGAACTTGCGAATTGATTCGCATCGCGCGTCAAAATCTTCTTTGTTTCTTGTTCCTGTATCTCCTAAGCAGCAATAACAGAAGTGCTACACTTCTTTTTACGATCAATGTCACGACCTATTTTTCAATTTAAAATACGTTTAGTACGGTTGACGGTCGTCGAAGGAATGGTCACCCTGGGAGACGCCTTGTCGCACGAAATCGCATCGCAGCAATTTGCATCATAATTTTTTGCGTTGCGAATTCACATCGTAGTTTTGTGTAGAAGCCCTTACCTAGAATTCTTATCTTGCACAGTTAACATCTGTTCGTCGACCTCCTTCATGGACATTCTGCCTCTAAATATGGCGGCCACGGTCAGGTACCGTCCGTGGCGAGGGTCACATGCCGCCATCATGTTGACAGGACTGAACATCTGCTGTGTCAGCTCCGGGACTGTTAAGGCTCGGTAGCCTTGGCTGTTGCGGGCTGTTAAGGGGGCGAAACCTGGAAGAGATGGTTTAAACTGTCAAATACCAAGCGGTCACCGGTGACCGCAACCTATTGTTCTATAATTGTGTCTACAAAACCGGTACTCGACGAGTTAAATGGTCAATAAGCACTGTTGGACAGTCAGTCCTTAGATTTGGCTTCTATAGACACATCGTTAGACATTTTGCACATGCATAATCTCAAGGTAGGCAGAGACTATGGAACCAATAACGTTTTTATTATGGCAATCGGTAAACGAGCAGACGGATCACCTGATGGTAAGCAATCGGCGCCGCCCATGGAACACTAGAGGCGTTACAAGTGCGTTACCGGCCTTTTGGGGATTAGGAGTTTGAGGATCGTTGGGGATTTAGAAGTTGGGGAGATTGGGAAACAGGAGAGTAATTGGGCCTCCGATAACCTCACTCACACGACGAAACACAACGCAAGCTTTGCTTCATGTCGGTTTTCTGCTCGGCCGTGGTATCACTGCGGTCGAGCCGACCCATTCGTGCCGAAGCATGGCTCTCCCACACTTAAAAACGTTAAAAAACAGGCGGACATAGTCTCTTGAAACCACGACTGTGGCACCTGGCTACTATAGACTTACGCACAGGACACGCACACATTGACACGAAGGAAATCTGTCGCGTAGCCCGTCATTACACTTCATACATTATGGTCTTGCAAGTACCTACACGCACACATGAATACACCACTGACATTGTAGTGTTACAATCGTTTGTAAGTGACGTTACGCCTGTCTTTTTATCTGATTCTGCAAATGCGTGTACTTGCAACAGTCTATAGTAGGCAGGTGCCACAGTCGTTTCAAGAGACTGTGTCCGTCTTTTGTTCAACATCCATGACTTAAAGTTAGTCTAATAAAAAATAATAAGTATTGAATGGTTTTTATGTATGAATGTGACCATCGACATATACTAATTATTTTTATTTATTTCAACTTCATACAACAAGTGTGTACAGGTGGACTTAATGCCTTGGGCATTGTCTCCTAGTCAACCTTTAAGCAGTGCAGAGATAAAAGTAGCAGGTGATTTAAACCTTTATAAATAGGCAATGTACCAGTGTAATAAATAACAAATCTCACAATCAGAATATTCAATAAACACTAAACATATAGGTATATTTGAAAACTTATACATACTTACTAATGGACATGTCGTACGCGTATAATCAATATATAATAAAGTAAGTAATTATTAGGTTTGAAAACAGTGAGAAAGATGGCCTATGCTTTCGGTCTACCGCTATCTCTTTCTCGCTCGTTTTATTTTGAGAGAGATAAAGATAGACCGAAACTTCGTTTCCTCTCTTTGTTTCGGAGTGCTACAATTCTCATCTCTAAGGCATATCTATTAGTATATGTCGATGAAAGAGGCGTGTGCAAGTGTTTTACGGTCATTAGAAATCTAGATTATACTCAGAATCTTCAAATGGTCAAATTGAAAGAAAGATATAATATTTGCTTCTCTTCTAGAACAAAGTTCTTACCAGGCATGAAGAAGTGTAACCTCGGGAAAGGCACCATGTTCACTGCTAACTTCCTTAAGTCAGCGTTAAGCTGTCCAGGGAACCGGAGACACGTTGTCACTCCTGACATGGTCAGCTGGAGATCAGAGCAGATACGAACTTAGTACTTAGTCAACACGAGTTTTTCTTTTCTTAAAAAAACGTTGCCCCACACTATGATTTTCTCCTGTGTCGTGTGTACAAACATAGAATCCCCAACAATCCTCAAGTTTCTAATCCCCAGTAACGCACTTGTAGCGCCTCTAGTATTTAATGTGTCCATAGGCGACGTCGATTGCTTACCATCAGGTGATCCGTCTGCTCGTTTACCGGCTTATACCATAAAAAAAATACAATTTCACATACACAAGACACTCAGACCCGGAACAACAATCTGTGGATCACACAAAGAGTTGTTCCGTGCGGGAATCGAACCCGCGACACGTTGCGCGGCAGCTGGTTGCCCAGATGCCGCGCCAACTGTGGAGTCAAGTCAAGTCAAGTGTTAAAGGGACGCCATCAGCATGATAGTCGCTCAAGTTTATTATTTGAGCCGGTAAAGACAGGAATTCTTTGCCGGACTATTTCTCGTAGGGTGAGTCTACAAGTCCCGAGTGAATAGGTTGCTTATGTAGACGTACTACATCGATGGCCGCATCATTTTGCACCACCAGGTCAGTTCGAACGCCTCAGTTATATTATACTAGCTTTTACCAGCAGCTTCGCTCGCGTCACAAAAGGATAAAAAGTAGCCTATGTGACATATACCAATACACACAGCGCCATCTATACCAATACTTTTGTTTTCCCTCGGGAATATCAAATTTTTCCGGGATAAAAAGTACCCTATTATTTATTCCGGACTTCTAGCTTTACGCCTGCAAAAATTTAAAGCAATCGGTTTAGTAGTTACGGCGTGAAAGCGGAACAAATAAACAAACAAACTCACTTTCCAATTTATAATATTAGTAAGGATAGGTACAGCTTGGCAAAAAAGAGTTGGGAATAATTGAGGTCGCTAGTATCGTATTCGTACCTGTGGGATGCTGGTAGTGACTGGTACACTAGGACTCAACCGGTTATGATTGATATTTGTTATTTTTATCGAGTTTAAAAAGAAGAGGTACTATGCTCGGGTACCGTAAGCACGGGCCTGCGGACGACGGCCTGCATGGGTAACTGCCGTCCGACCAGACCCGAGTGTACAGCGCGTCGCGTTCCAAGCGAGCCTCAAAGAGCCATCAGACCACCACGGATGGGGCTCAATAGTGCTGATATCGATACGTAGCCGCGGAGAACGTAAACGGTTACCGGGGCTCCAGAAGTGCAAGAGAACGGAAAAAGAACGGGGTGGTTTTTAGTCAGTAAGAGTCTGACACTCCCTCCCGCCTCACCCAGGCGGGAGCAGTCATTTGATGATGATGATGATGATTTAAAAAAAACTATGTTCGGATGATTGTTTATTCATGAAATATGGCCTGTAGTGGGTGATTCCAAGTCAATATTAGTACTAGCCGTCACCGCGTCCAACTCTTTCTTGCCAAGGTACCTATAGATTTATTTTTAAACTTACCGACACAAGGTGATTCAAATCTCCATAAGTAGGGGATGCTAGCCTCAAAGTCCGGAAGCAAATATCGTAGAGAGCTTCATTGTCGATGCAAAATGTCTCGTCTGTATTCTCGACCAACTGGTGGACGGATAATGTCGCATTGTAAGGTTCCACGACTGTGTCTGACACCTGGAATTTAAAATCATCACGATATCAGCAGCTGTAGCCAAATGCCATTTAGCGCTTATCTACAAGTAAATTAAAAAAACAAATTATGGAATTGGCTTAAAAAGGCCTTTAGCCAAACGCAACTTTAGCGTTCGTCTACAGAGAGAGTAGAAATCAAAATATATGGGGATGACACTGACAAGTGTCAAAATTTACGTCAATTCCATATAATTTGGTTTTCTATTCTACATGTAGACAAGCGCTAAGTGGCATTTGGCTACAGCTGCTGGAATGCTAAATGTCATCCGTTGGTATTGGTCGAAAGAGCCATGCATCAGTGGTCCGGTTGACCGGAATGACACCATAGCCTTATAGGAAATCTGGAGCTGCGGACGACTTAACGGGTTACCGCGGCTCCGGTCCTTTCTATGCAGGAATAGAATGGGGTAGTGTCTAGTCAGTAAGAGTCTGACACTCCCTCCCTCCAGCTTCATTCAGGATGGGAGAAACATTTGGATGGTTTTTGCCCCTCAAAAAAAGTCTTATAGGAAAGTCTTCAGTTTCAAAGATTGTCTTTAAGTGTCCATGAGACACCTGCAACACCAGAGAAGGCTCTTTTCTTGTAGGTTTAAAGGTTGTATCGTGTTCCTGACGTCACATCGGGCTCACCACCATACGTGGCCCGCGACTGCTGCGATCGGCGGTCATTCATTCACTCGCTCGCCCGACACGACGCCGTGCGCACATATCGGTTGACCCTAACAATCAGTACCTATTTAAATACAGTCTTCTCATCATACCGAAGTCTTTTATTATTCAAGACCACCAGCAGCACACCTGGAGCTTGATATTCAAACAATCGTTTCAGAAATATCGCATATTTCAATGTTTTTTGTGCCATAAACAATTTTTTTTTTTAGTGTGTAAGTCGGTAAACGAGCAGACGGATTACCTGATGGTAAGCAATCGGCGTCGCCCATGGACACTCGAAATACCAAGACGTTACAAGTGCGTTACCAACCTTTTGGGAATTGGGAATTTGAGGATTGTGGAGGATTCCGGGATTCGGGAGACGGGGACTAGGGAGGGGGGGTAATTGAGCCTCCGGTAACCTCACTAACACGACGGAACACAACGCAAGCGTTGCTTCACGTCGGTTTTTTGCTCGGCCGTGGTATCACTCCGGTGGAGCCGGCCCATTCGTGCCGAAGTGTGGGAGAGCCACACTTAATTTTGATTATTTTTAGCAAAAGCTACTACTTAATAAGGACCCTTACTTTAGGTGACGGCATCACGCCGAAAGTATTGACAATCCTGTCAGGGTACTCCTCTCGCAGCTTGCTGAGGAGCAGCGTGCCCAGACCTGAACCAGTACCACCACCCAATGAATGGGTCAACTGGAAACCTGGAAAGAAATACATAGGAAATGATAATCAGGGTTTAAATAACAAACCTGGATGTCTTCAAGGCCCGAGTGAATAGGTTGCTTATGTGACGACGTGCTCCATCGTAGGCCGCGTCATCGTGCACCACCAGGCGAGATAGTGGGAAAACGTAAGCCTATCAAACACATATACAAGGTGGATAAGGATTGATAAGGTCAATAAGGATGAAATCGCTCTAACAAACTTCATAAATGAAAGGACAACAAAAGGAATGTCTCCTTTGAGTAAAATTTTCTATCTAAAATATTAAGAGTATTTCCCCTTCAGGGGGCGTCACAAAATTACACCCTGTCTATAAAAAAATTTCAAAGCCTTCTTTTTTCTTGAACTTCATTACATACATACATAACCTCACTCTGTCTCCTATAGGTGTAGGCAGAGACTATAGAACGCCAATTGCTACGATTCCTACATACCTCTTTCGCTTCATCAACAGTCATCAATCTTTTCATGCATGCTCGTCGGTTAAGGGTACTTTTAATTTGGCCCTTCTTCAATATATCGCCAATCTTTTGTCTAGGGCGCCCTCTACTGGAATTGGACGCAGTATTTTTTTTTTTGTTTATGGAATCGGAGGCAAACGAGCTGACGTATCACCTGATGGTAAGCGATCAGCGCCGCCCATGGACATCCGCAACACCAGAGGAGCCATAGGTGCGTTGCCGGCCTTATAAAAAGGAATACGCTCTTTTCTTGAAGGTTTGAAGGTCGTATCGGTTCGGAAATACCGCCGACGACAGATCATTCCACAGTTTTGCTGTGCGAGGCAGAAAGCTATGTGAGAAGCGCACAGTTGTGGCCTACCAACCATCTATATGATGGGGATGTATATGCTGTCGTGAGGGTCGATGGCGAAAAGATGCGGCAGGTATCAGGTCAAACAATTCCTTAGAGCACTCCCCGTGGTATAAGCGATAGAAAATGCACAACGAGGCTACATCTCTACGCATTGCCAAAGTGTCTAGCCGGTTTGAAACATCTCGACATCCAACAATGGCAAAAGGCTCACCCCTCATTACATGGGACTTATAACATAAATAGTGAAAAGTGGGTGTTATATTGTACAGTGGCATTAAGTGCCGTAATGTGCAGCTCTGCCAACTGCGTGGTGTTATGTCATATGTGATAATAATGATTAGTTATACCTTGAAGACAGTCACAGGGCTCTGCCTCTTTTCTCACGACATCCATAACCGACTCGACCAGCTCAGCGCCTTCCGTGTAGTGTCCTTTCGCCCAGTTATTACCTATAAACCAGAAAATGCATTAAAATAAAAACAGATGTCACAAAAGACGGCTTTTTTAAGGATTGATAAACCGACTTTAGGGAACAGAGAGACCAGAGAGTATAGTTCCCTAAGATCGGAAAAGGAGGATCCTCCGACCAGGCGAGGTGATCGTGCCTGGCGGGCTTTCTGCCCAACAGTTGCTCGTTGGGATTTTCTATCCGTGTTAAATCGCATGTAAGCTTCGCATGTGCGATGTAGGATTTTATGACGTCATCCGTTGACTTGTGACATGTGTCGCCACACCGACCTTAAGAAACCCTCTTTTTTGACATATAAGTGCAAGAAACACTTTTCATAAAATCACATCAAAATCGGTTCTGTCTATCGTGAGATAAACGCGCAAAAACATGTATATGTCGGAGAAAATGCACCCATTGGGGGTATTTCGGAAAACGCGGTAAGTTCGGTACGGGCTGGCAGAACAACCGTTCTCCCTCGTGTCCAACTCAAAAGTGACGCCTTTCAAATGCCAACATGCCACGCCCCGTACCGACCATCACCCAAGCACACTGCTTGACGTTTCCGACAAATGATAACAGATGGCGTTGTTCTAAAATAACGATACTCGATAGTTGTGCATCTTTGTTGATTCTGCGACATATACATACATACAAGTACAATTGAAACTCCTTTTTTTGAAGTCGGTTAAAAATCTTCATTTTTTATATCGGGAAACAAGCAGATGTAGGTAATACAAGTGCCGTAATAAAAGTTTAAGGACATTGTTCTCGGACGAAGTCTATCAATGGGATGTCCTCAGGGTTCGGTTCAAACCTTCTCCGTGTGAGAAGAGGTCTTTGGTCAGCAGTGGACACTTATAGGCAGTTGATGACGATGATGATGATGACACTCAGACCGTAACAACAATTTAACACAAGGGGGTTGACAACACGGTTAGTGCGGTGGCTGGGCAAGCTGCTGCCACGCAACGTGTCGCGGGTTCGATTCCTGCACGAAGCAACTATGTACGTATGTAATCCACAAATTGTTGTTCCGGGTCTGCGTGTCATGTGTATGTGAACTTGTATGTTTGTAAACGTACACACGATACAGGAGACAATGCTAGTGTGGGGAAACGTTTAAAAAAAAAAGGGTTGCTTCGTGGATCATCGAATTCGCAACACGTTCCACGACATCTGGTTACTAGTTATCCAGTCAGTGGATCAACTGAAAAGATAACAAAGACTCACCGGCTCCGCTTTGTCCAAAAACGTAGTTATCAGGTCGGAACAGCTGGCCGTACGTGGATGACCTGATGGCGTCCATGGTCCCTGGCTCCAGGTCCACCAGGACTGCACGGGGCACGTAGCGCTTGCCTGGTAAAGAGACATAAGAATCATTGCAGGCAGTTTTTGAAATTGAAATTATTGCTAGCTTACACAAAACTGCGATACAACGTCGCATCGCAAAAATGTGCGAGCTCCCTCTACGCATCGCAAGAACTTGCGAATTGATTCGCATCGCGCAACAAAATCTTATCTTCCCAAAATCTTCTTTGTTTCTTGTTCTTGTATCTCCTAAACAATAACAGAAGTGCACACTTCTTTTTACGATCCATGTCACGACCTAGTTTTCAATTTAAAATACGTTTAGTACGGTTGACGGTCGTCGAAGGAATGGTCACTCTGGGAGATGCCTTGTCGCACGAAATCGCATGGCAGCAATTCGCATCGTAATTTTTTTGCGTTGCAAATTCGTATCGCATCGCATCGCAGTTTTGTGTACGAGTCCTAAATGGTGAGTACTTAATTTATCAAAGAAGGGAATTAATTATGAAAACATCACGCTGTGATCATTAGGATCCGCGGAGCAGAGGATAATACCGCACGAGAGTATATTTCTTTTAACTTAAAATTTCGGAAGCGCTATACTCCGTAACTACTGGTGGCTGCGAATTTGAAAATGATTCTAATGTTGGATTGGTCCATAGTCTATTTCTCGAGGAAGACTAGGCTTTAAAATATCATGCTACGACCAAAAGGAGCTGAGCAACGGGTGAAGAATGGAAATACTCTAGTTTGAAAGTGCCTTGGCACAGAGAGGCTCTAGGTAGACACATAGGTCTCCATAGGGAGGTGTCGTAACAGGCGTTGCACCGTGGGGGCTCCGGGGTTGGTCTACTAAGAGGACCCGGTGCCTCCTTTAGTTGCGGATGGTGGCCACCGGGGAGGTTTTAGTCAGGTAAAAATCCCACACTCCATAGTCTTTTTTTCCCCAAAAAGCTAGGCGGCTTTTTAAGGTTTCCCCCCGTCAACAAAAAAAAAAGGTATATTTTTCCATACATGGCTGCCCGTCGTCTTTTGACAGAAGAAGATAGTTGCAACTGCTAGCCACAATACATACCGTCAGCCGCCTCATTGTAGTACACTTGGATCCTCTCGAGTTGAAGGTCGCTGTCTCCCTTATAGTATCCGGTCTGGTCAATGCCGTGCTCATCAGATATTATCTCCCAAAACTGGAAGAAAATACAAAATATAATTATTTGAACTTCACTACACGATTAAAACAAACAAAGAAACAAACATATCTTTGTTGTATAATGTTTAAATGTGGGCTCGCCATGCTTCAGCACAGCTGGGCCGGCTCGACCGGAGTGATACCACTAACGAGCAGAAAACTATAGTAACCACCGGAGGCCCAGTTACCCCTACCTAGTCTCCCCGAATCCTCCACAATCCTCAAATTCCCAATTCCCAAAAGGCCGGTAACGCACTTGTAACGCCTTTGTGTTTCGAGTGTCCATGGGCGACGCCGATTGCTTACCATCAGGTAATCCGTCTGATAAGGAATTTATGTTTATTTATTTATTTATTATTACACACTCAAGTTAACATTACAGGTTTAGGACCCAATGCGATAACAAGGTATTATAAAATCTAGCGACACCTTACAGCATATTAAACTTGTACAAACTAATAAAGAAATCCAAACTATTACAGAAATAACGAAAAAAAAACTAACTTAATTATATTGTTTAAACTGCCAAACACCAAGCGGTCACCGGTGACCGCAACCTATTGTTCTATAATTGTGTCTACAAAACCGGTACTCGACGAGTTAAGATCCAAGAATTGGGAAAGAGGGGTGGTAATTGGGCCTCCAGTAACGTCATTCAGACGACGAAACACAACGCAAGCGTTGCTTCACATCTGTTGTCTGCTCGTTGGTGGTATCACTCCGGTCGAGCCGGCCCAGGGGTGCCGAAGCATGGTTCTCCTACTCCTGCTTTGAGCCGGAGTCCCGATATGTCCCGTCCACACACTCGATGTTTGTTAAAAAACACAACAAACAAAGTTCCAAACATTGATGTGTAGTAAGCAAGTCGATACATCGCTAATTGTTTGCCGAACAACCTTTGATCTGTGGCGAACACATATATGAAGAGACAAAAACACATATAAACATACACTTTTTGGGGTTTGTTGGTTTGCCAAGGGCAGTAGATACTGTCTTTACTACAGACCATATAAACTTATACATATAAAGTTAAATGTTCTGTGGTCTTTACCATACACTCGGGGCCCGTGCCCAGAGTTCCCATCCTCAGGGGGCCCCGAAGGACCGAATTTCTAGGATGGACACACACCAGCTAGGTACCCGTTGCACGGCTACCGACTGCCCCGCAACGTGTAGTGGCTTCGATTGCCGCACGCAGCAAATATTTATGTGATCCACAAATTGTTGTATCGGGTCTGGGTGTCATCATGTGACGAACACACGACGTGGGAGAAAATCCTAGTATGGGGCAACGTAAAAGGACACATTCCCAAAGGGCGCCGAATTATTGAGTGCCTTAGGGTTAGACTAGGCTGGGAGTTTATCGCGGAGAACCTAACGGGTTACCGGGGTTCCGGCTCGAAGTGCAGGAGAAGGAACGGGGTGGTTTTTAGTCAGTAAGAGTCTGACACTCCCTCCCGCCTCACCCAGGCGGGAGCAGTCATTCGATGATTTTCCCTCTTAAAAAAACGGCTGGGAGTTTAAGACGGCTTTGGCCTTTTTTTTATTTTATTTTTTTTTTTTAAAGGCGGCTTTGGCCTAGGGTGTAGACCCGGTATTAAGTTGTTGCATCTCTTAATCTCTTAAGGTCAATATATACATGAGTAAAATAGAATCTGTCTATCGCCTGCTGTCTCGCTCTATATAACGCCATCAGAGTATAGAAAGTTTAATCAAGTACTTTCTATAATTATCGACCAATTACCATACAAATTCAATGGTATAAAACTGCTGATTTCAATCGTAAGAATCGGTGACGACTGAATGAAAGCAGCGCTCTCTGATAAACCTGCTCCTTTTATACTGCGACCTCCAACTCGCCTGCCTGCGGAGATTGTGACAAACCCTCTTATGTAGAGGAGACTTATAGTGCAGCAGTGGAGTGTCCGATAAAACAGAATACAGATTTATTAAGATAAATAAGCCTATGAACTAGGATAACTCACTGATTTAACAAACGCCTATTCATAGGAAGAAAATTCTTCTCCATAGGAATCTAGACTTTGGAACGATCAAATAGCCTAGAGGATTAACTCAGAGTCTAACATTTTTACACAACAATGCCTTTCTGGTCTAAATGAAATAAATGATTTTGACTTTGACTTTAATAAAATGAGGATTGAATACAGAATAGTGAATTCAAATATATATTTTTTTTAATCATTATTCCAGCAGACAATGTTTTCATCAATTTTAAATTTTTGCGCGCGAATTCTATCGTTTAGCAAAAAAAACTGATGAACTGCAATAATAATTTGCTAGTTTGCAACATACATCTGTTTTAACCTTTTGTAAACTCAATGAACGGGAAATATCATCTCTTAATATAACTGTTGTCTACCGTTAGCCTGTCCAAGTGTTAACGTAAAAATAGATAAATGTTATGTCTCAAGATTTTCAATTTAAAATCTAAAATAATAAAGATTTGTATATTTCTCACCTTTGAGCCGATCTGGTTGCCACACTGGCCCGCCTGCAAGTGCACAATTTCACGCATTTTCAATGTTTTCACTTCTAAAACACTAGCCAATGTGCTTGTCCAAGTCTAGTTCAAGATACTATTTTAAGAACTTCGTCTACGCACTCAAATTAATCACGTGGGATGATTTACCGTTTTATGTTTGAGCTAATTATATTTATTAATACTTTTACTTTGTTATGAATGCGTTTGTATCGTTATTTTTCTGTAATATCCGTAGAAATCTGCTAAAGAAAATCATGTTGCATTGTCGAGTGGGAAAGTTTAATTAATTTATTACAGCGCCATCTATTATCTCAATGAAGAAGTTATTTTAAACAAAAATTTGATTGGAAAATTATTATACAATCAATAACATATCAAATAAATGGAATATCGAAAGAAATTCTGAAATAAAACCATTTAAATGTAATGATTAATTAATGAACAAAATTCTGGATAACAAAACGCGTTCCTATAAGACCCGCATTGCACATTCCAAATGACGTTTCTTTACCTTGACACATAGGTAATGTCAAAATCGAGTTTCCCCATAAAAATCGTCGGAGCCGATTTTCGATCAAGTTAAGCGTAAAATAGTGAAATTCATAGTATTTATTGTATATTGATAGTACTTTGGCGTATATCGAGTGTATTAGTTTATTATTTGCTCGTGTAAAACAGTGTAAATATGATTAATCGCCATTTTGCTACGAATGTGCCCTGAAGGCATAGCCATTTTTCTCGATTAGTGTATTTTTCTTTTGTGATTATAGACAGTTTTTATCTACTACTGACGTGTGACGTTTTATAAAATTAAAAACTACAACCGTAGCTAATTAAACGTAAGTATAAAAGTGAGACGTATTATTATTAAAAGCATTTTTTTTTCTTTTTAAATACAATTTATGAAGGATGGAATTTATAGTTAGTGTTTCACCCGCGGCGTTGCGTAGGTCGATCCTGTTGTTATAGGACGAAATGTTGACGCCAACAGTCGCCACACAATGCAAAATAGATGCAAGCTGCTTCAAAAGTATGTTCAGCAGTTTTGTAGTTAGATTCAAACAAGAATAAAACAAAAAAATATTTGTTGAGTAGTACATATTTTTGGGTTCATACTAAAAGCATTATTACTAAAAGCATTATTAATATGTATGTAAGCAGTAGTAGTAGCTGGCCCTCATCTAGAACTGTAAAGATTGATGTGTAAAATTGTTATTGTGTAACTTATTCACATAAATAATTACTTTTTTATTTACTACACATCTTCTCGATCACTTCATTTCTGAAGGTCGTGTCCCTAAAAGGCTTTCATTCGTCTCTGTGTTATTTCCCTCTATCTTGTCCTATTTTCGGCTTCTCTCACGGCTTTCGAACAAAAAGTCTAGTGTAATTGATGAGTCTCCCATGGGGGTAGGCAGAGACTATGGAACGCCAATTGCTATAATTCTTACATACTTCTTTTGCTTCATCGACAGTCATATTTATAGTAAAAAGAGTAGTTTTACACGTCTATATTTTAAAACTAGGCTAGATAAAGCATTTCCTATCAGACTACATTGAGAAGAAACACGGGAAAAAAAACAAGTTTTAAAAAACCCAGTAGTACTTTGCCTGACCCATGAATCGATACCGTAATATTGATACTGTCTCTGAAAAACAATGCTGCCCTTTGAATTCAATGAAATTCAGTAATACATTTTAATGTAATTATATTTTTAAATTACTGTTAATACAATGTCTATTAATTTGATAGCTAGGTACGCTAGTAACTGTAATCAAAGATATAATGGAAGCAATAATAAAATATATTTACAACTAATATTAAAATAACTGCCTCGTTGGCAGTGTGGTCACAAGTGTGACTGCTGGACATGGGGTCTCCGGTATTACTGGGGTGGGCAAAGTATTACTTGGTTTTTAAAAGTAGTAGCATTGAATCTGGAATTGTGCCTGGTATATGGCAATAGGCTCACCCCCTATTACATCGGACTCATAAAATAAATGGGTGTTACATTGTACAGTGGCATTAAAGGCTGTAATGTGCGTATACGTATCGGTACCAGCCCTATTGGGTGCCTTTACCATCAGGTGATCCATCTGCTCGTTTACCGGCTTATCCATTACATTCAAAATTTTTCCTTCGATAATGTTATATGGTGTTGAGCAAATTTGCCCCAAAATATTTGTGAATCTATCAGCGCTAACTTAGTTTGTACGATTATTCGATCAAATATTTTGAATTAAGTAGTGTCCTAATTGAAGTTCCCGCTATATTAGGAATGATGACGGGGTATGAAAATTAAAAATCTATTCAGTCCGTCCGTTAGGTAATGAAAAAACTAGACAAGTATTTTTTAATTTGTCGTATTAGAACACAATAGCTACCTAAATAATACGAATCAAAGTTTAGGAGTGGGAGCAAGCTACGTCATTGAGTGCTTAAACGTCATTTCTACGTATAAAACGTAGGTATCTAGAAGTGACGTCACACAATATTTCAAATCAATATAATTTGTCGAAAGTATTTGTTTCAGTAGGAAAATAAAAAATGCGTGTCTAATGTTTTAAAATAATCTACCTACTTATACTACATTTTATACGCAGATAATCTACTTTGGCAAGCAAAACCACGGGCAAAAGTATCCCATTCATATTTAACCAGGTTCCGCCCGCGGCTTCATCCGCGTAGAATATCTAATTTTATACTCGTAGAATGTCTAAGTTTGATTCTCATATCCTATGGGAATTACGCCGTAAATGGAATACAAAGATCTTTTCGGTATTTTTTTATTACTGTCGGGGTTCGATTCCCGGGTCGGGCAAAGTATTATTGGGTTTAAAAAAAATCTCGGTAGTAGCACGTTGTCTGGAAATGTGCCCGGTATAAGGCAATAGGTTCACCCCCTATTACATGGGACTCGTAACATAAATAGTGAAAAGTGGGTATTACATTGTACACTGGCATTAAGTGCCGAAACGTGCACCTCTGCCTATCCCTTCGGGGGTAAAAAGGCATGATATTATCTTATGTTATGTATCGTTTTCCTCCAATATAACATCTTGTATTTTAATCCCTCGAGAGGTAGGTAGCTCGAACAACGTAACACCAATCTTTAACTGACTTCAAAAAAGGGTCTCTGTTTGATCTGTATGTATGTATGTATGTTTGTTTGTGTGCGATTTTCTCCCGATTGGCTGTACTGATTTTGATACGGTTTTCAGAGAGTACACTTTTTTAAGGGGGAAACCATCGAATGACTTTCCCGCTCGGGTGAGGCAGGAGGGAGTGTCAAACTCTTGCTTAATAAAAACCACCTCGTTCCTACTCCTGCACTTCGAGCCGGAACCCCGGTAACCCGTTAAGTCCTCTTAGGAGAAGGTTTTAAAGTCAAAGTATTTATTTCAATTAATTCTTAATTAGGTACTTTTGAAACGACAAAAATGTAATTGTCCGTCTCTCTGTCTATCAGTGAAGCTAGTCGCTCGTTCCAATGTGTAGTTTCGGATGGAGAACAACGAGCAAGAAACTCGATTTAGTATATTAATAAACCGACCTCGAAAAAGGGGGTCTTTTTTTAAGATGGGAAAATCATCGAATGACTTCTCCCGTCTGGGTGAGACTCAGGCGCCTCGCCTCCTCCTTAGCTAGCATGACTGCTTCACAAAAGAAGGAGACGGCATCCCAGTCCCCTTCGCTCTGCATCATGACCCGCACTAGAGACGGTGCCGATCACGTCCCTGAGGGCACGGTGGTGCTCAGCCCACGCAGAGCATTCCCCTACTGTGTGGTCCACGAAGTCCTCAGGGCGGTCCTCGCAGTGATGACACCCGGGCGTTTCCTCCCGCCCTATCAGACAGAGGTACCTCCCGAAGCTCCTATGTTCGGTGAGGACCTTGGAGACTGCTAAACCAACCAAAAGGCTGCATGGCCTCGCCGCGACCTTGCAGGGAATAAGAGGTGTAACGTTTACATGAGACTGTGGCCTCTACGATTGCTTCGGTGTTTCTTCTCAAAGTAGATGGTAGATGTCCCAACGCACGAAGCGCTTCGCATCAAGCTTCCTTGTGCGTACTGCTAAGGAGTGGAATTCTTTACCAGAGTCTGTATTTTCTGAAGGGGTGGGTGTCTTCTAGGTCCAAGGGAATAGGTTGCTTATGGGACGACGTGCTCCATCATAGACCGCATCATCGCTTACAACTAGGCGAAATAGTGGTCAAAGTCGGCCCATCAAATATTTAACACCTTGAACACCATTGGGGCCAAGGTACGGGCCCCGATAGCGGAGGATTTACCCTCAACAGTTTTCTGTCGGCAGTCAAAGGCTTAAATAAAGTCTGATAGGAAATGCTTCATCTAGCCTACTTGTCAAATATTGACTTGTAAAACTACTTTTTGTAGTATATTTACAGAAATAAATATCATTTATCAAGCGAATGAGGTGTGTGCCAGAATCATGACATTTGACATTGTATAATAACTGGTTACCATGATACTGAGGTTAACTAAAAGTTATGGTTTACTCCCGTATAGATATTGAGAAATGCCTAATCAGGGTGCGCAACATCGCCACGTCCGCTCTGCTCATGAGGAAGCAGTCCCTCTATGACTCGAAACTAGTAGAGCTTTTGCCAGTATATTCACGTGAGAGTCCCGTCATTTTTAGTTAATTCAATATGGCTTACGATAGTTATTATAAAAATATAGTCTAAGTCAATATCAAGAGCAAAGTACTACAAGGTTTTGAATAAATTCTCAGTAGTAGCACGGAGTTTTGAATTGTGCCCGGTATACGGCAATAAGCTCACCCTCACATGCGACTCATAACATAAATGGTGAAAAGTGGGTGTTACGTTGTACAGCATTAAGTGCCGTAATGTGCAACTCTAGTTTCGGGGATAAAAGGCGTGATGTTATGTTATGTGTCTAACTCAATATTCATATCTTTCCAGGTACAAAAATGGAAGAAGTAAAAGTAGAGACTCCTCCTCAACCGGTCATGAAGTTTATAAGTGTAACGAGTGATGCTCTGACAGAGGAACAGAGAGAAATGTACGAATCAGTACTAACTACTTGGAAACCGGTCATGTTCCCTAAACGAATCAAACGATATATCTGCAATAAATGCAATAAGGAATTCAAAAATTACCAAAATCTTTACCTACATACTACAAGAGTGCATTCTTCCGAAGAATCCGCAGTTATCTGCGATATTTGTGACAAAACATTTAAGAATAAACACTATTTATATATGCATCGAATGAACAAACATTATTCTGAACTTGAGAAGTGCTACTGCCAGTTCTGTCTCCAAGAATTCAGGACAAGAAGGGCTTTACATATGCACGTAAAAAGGATCCATCCGACCACCCTGCCCGAGATAAAGTGCAACGAATGCGGCAAAGAGTTTTCAGTACCTTACAAACTCAAATACCACATCGAAGCCTGCCACAGAACAGACAAAGAAAAGTACAAATGCCACCTCTGCCACAAACTTTACAAAAACAGCTTAAATCTTAACCGACACCTCCATTTTCAACATACTCCTGTACAACGACATCCCTGCGTATTCTGCAATATGACCTTTAAGTCCCGACATCATATGAAACGTCATGTATTGAATATCCATCCTCCTTTAGAGTCCAAAGTCACTTGTCCAGAATGTCTGAAAGAGTTTAAAAATGACCAGTATCTTAAGGAGCATATGCAAGTACATTCCTCGTTGGATTCGAAGGTTAAATGTGATATCTGTGACAAGTTTTTCCATTCCGCGATTCGTTTAAAAAAGCACAAGAAAATTGTGCACCCTTCGAAACCGAAAATGCGATGCGAAAAATGCAATAAGGAGTTTGCACATGCCCATTATTTACGCAGACATAACAACGCGGTGCACTTGGAAATTGATGAGACAGAGTATCCACATTCTTGCGAGCAATGTGGCAAGAAATTTAAGCTAAAGAAATACTTGAATAATCACCTGCAGAGACATGAACAACAGCATCTGAAGAGAATATCCCAAATGGTTAAGACGGTTATGGGAGATGAGAAAGATGTCCCAGTTAAAAAGAGAGGGAGACCAAGGAAGGCTAGAGCGGAGATTGAGTTCATCAAGTGCGAACCGGTGTCTAGCTCCGATTCGGAGTCGGGAGAAACGGAGAGTGATTCGGAGTGAAATTTTCGCATATTTCGATAGTGAAATGGTTTTGTGCAGTGCAGGTTTTGGGCAGCGTGTAATGAAATTAGGTGTCCCGTTTTTAAAACTGGAGTGGGAGATAGCAAGCCGTTGTATATATGTGTTGAAGAAATTTGCGATTGAAAAGCGATTTATTTCGGTCCCTTAAGTGGATTTCTAGATATTGTTAGTTAGGACCAAATTTTTTGCAAAATATTTCTTGTTCTTAGAGGTTTTCTATATTAAAACTGCGTCGGGCGGTAGATATTTGGTATGGGAGAGAATTAAGTAAATGCAAAAAGTTTCTGTGACCAGACACTTCATCTGTACACCTTCTTTACAGTATTTGCTCTCAAAGTATCGAATCAATCGTAATTCTCAATTATTCTTTTGCTATACAGACCTATTTGTGTGATCCACAAATAGTAGTTCTATGTCTATGTGTGATGTGTCTGTGAAAGTGTTTGTGAACGTACACTTGTTTCACTTGTTTTGATTAACAAACTGTTTCTTGGTTCTACTTCTCTGTAACAATGTCCCACAAAAGATATCGACCGTCTGACGCCATTTAAAAATTAAATTTTAAATCTAATTGGGATCTTATTGGATAAGCTTAAAGAGCCTTTTATCTATGAAGACACCATGGTCTTGTCAACCATGTTTCACGTCAACAACGGGTGATAGTCCACTGCTGCACTATAAGTCTCCTCTACATAGGAGGGTTTGTCACAATCTCCGCAAGCTCCAGGGTTGGAGATCGCAGTATAAAAGGTTCGGGTTTTTCAGAGAGCGCTGCTGCAAGGTCTGTCTAATGTGTAGTCTCTTAATCGAGTATACGACACCCGCGGGAAGAGTAGAGTTGGTGGCTATGGTGTCTTATTGGAATAGGGTTCTAATGCTATTTCATTCATTCATTGCAAATCACATGATTTTCATAAAAAACAGTTTTCTAAAAAACATTTTACAGGCTTTTGTCATCCCAAAATTGTATTTTAAAAACGTCATATTAGAATAGATAATTGTTTGTAAAATAAATCTATTTTGATGTTGTGTAAATCTGCATTAAGTAACTCAAGACTCAACAATCATTCGAAAATAATTCTTAAAACCAACTGTAGAAGAGCGATTTTTCATCTCTTATTCAAGAAGTTAAATGGAAATATAAATATGATAAGTTAACAAGGCATAAAATATTAGGAAATGGGATTTTTAATGTTAAAAAAGGTCTTTATAACAATTTCATAGATTTTTCTTATTAAATGTTTCCTTTATTGGTAGATTTGTAATATATTGTGTATGGCAACATTGCGGTTTTGGTAGAAAAGACTGATGTTGAACTGGTTTGGCGATGATAGGAAGACAGAATCTGTCGTTACTCTAATGTGATTCGGCTCAAACAGTTATATGTTTTTTTCGGTGCTTAACATAAATACTATTAAATGCTAGCTATTCCCCACGGCTTCACCCGTGTGGGCAAAGGAAACAAGTAGCAGTATATCACTCTCCAGCTTCATAACTACTTTCAGTCACAAAAAAATATTCTAAAAATGAGAATTTTGTTGGTACAAATTGATTTTGGAAACTAGGTTCGAATTTAATCATTATTTTTGTATTATATAGTCCATTTACTAAAGAATACTATAGGTTATGAAACATAATGCTGCGATCAAAAGGAACCGAGCAGCGAGTGAAATAACGCAGGAATACTATAGTAAATTGATAAATCATACTATTAAATTTTTCCATTGTAATTTACACATAAAAGTCTTATTTCCTTCGCATTTATACGGTATCGAAATTGTGGTTTAATACTATCTGTACGTGCGTTCGCCAAGACGATCATCAACAAACTGAATAAATGTATGAATGAAAGGTGGTGAACCCAATGTTGCCATATTAAAAAATTGTTATCTATTTGGGGTCAGTAATATTAATGTTAGCAACTTTTAAAATAATGAGGACTTTTAATTAATTTTGTAATTATTGTAGATGCTGTATATTTTGCTACTGTTTTCTAATTTTACTCCTAATTTACGCATAATATAAAGTTTCCTTCAAAAAAATTAAGTAAGATTACTCTTGGTATTTTGACAAAAATCGGTCGTTTTGCACATGCAAAAATCCTATTATAGTTTCGGTGTCAATGTCTCAGTATGGTAAAAACATTGTTAGGTTTTACATACCTAAGGCCATGCGTGTCCCCCATGCAAGTAGGCAGAGACTAGAACGCTAATGTGGGCTAACCTTTTTTTGCTGTAGAAGTGGTTTTTTGTCCAATAACAGCAGCTGTCAGATATTGAACCTCAAATGACGTGACATTAGCTAATTCCCTATTGAATGAAGAACGAGAGGTGCTCACAAGCCCATTGCTATGATTCTTACATACCTTTCGCTTCATCAACTGTCCGGTCGTTTAGAGTTTTATAATATCTATCGTAAGACATACTAAATTAACTAAAAACGCGGGTTACTCACGTGAATATACTGAGGAAAGCTTTACTAGTTTCGAACCACAGAGGGGTTCTTCCTCATGAGCAGCATGCGCGGTCGCGGCGACGTCGCGCAGCTCACCAGTAGAGCTTTTCTCAGTATATTCACGTGAGTAACCCGCGATTTTAGTTAATTCCGTCGTTTAGATGTCATATTTCTCAATAATGTATAGTTTCTCTGTTACATGGGACTCATACACTAAAAATAAGACCTTGTAATATAATTACAAATCTTCTAGTTTGTATTATACCTTTCGTTAGACGTGCAAATATTAAATATTGTTTTTTCCGGTTACTCACATAACCTTTTGACGAGGAACTAGAGACTCATATTCATGAGCAGTATTCTGCGACAGTTGCTCCGTCGTGTGTCGCGGAATGCTGCGAATATGAGCCTCTAGCATGGCTTGAAACTAATAGAGTTCCTCATCAGGTTCGATTCCCAGTCGGGCAAAGTATTACTGGGTTTTTAAAAAATTCTCAGTAGTAGCACGGAGTCTGGAATTGTGCCCGGTATATGGCAATAGGCTCACCCCTTATTACATGGGACTCGTAACATAAATAGTGAAAAGTAGGTATTACATTGTACAGTGGCATAATGTGCACGTCTGCCTACCCCTTCGGGGATAATAATTGCTTCTTGTAAATTAAGCTCTAAAAAGTGAATACGTTTTGTGCAATATTTTCGTTTAAATTATATAGTTTTTTTCTACTAAAGTAGGTATTGCCGACATATTTTTTTTGATAATGTATTTTGTCGAAAACTTAAAATGTTAGCAAAAACTCCTCATGATTTTAAAAGAGTAAATGGACTTGAAAACAATAGTTAGTTATCTGAAATTTAAAATGTATTAAGAATAGCGCTTGGTTATTTGATTACAAACGGTATTCCACAAGCAATAGAGTCCATATTCCAAAACAATTGAAAGGAGGGTAGTACACAAATATTTGTTGCCAAAATTTTTTTTAACTACCCTTCCAGATTTTTTCTTTTATTTTGACTATTGTTTTGAAGTCCATGTTTTATGTACACAGTTTTTCAATAAATAAATGTTATATTATATATAATGTAAATACATAAATAAATACATATTATTATTAATTTATCGTTTAGTTGTCAAACGCTGAAATACTCGATCACTACTCAATTTTAAACCTTGCTTTAATATAGTTCTGTCTCTACAAACTCTTTGTATAATGACAGAGATGGCACAATATTTAAGTACAATCAAAATTGAGTAGTTTTTCAGCATTCGGGCGTAAGTGACTTGATTTTTCAGTAATAGTGCCATTTTTTCCAAAAAATATGTTTAACGGCTTACTGGCGTAATCAAAAACATTTAATGATTACTGAGACTAATCCTTTGTAACGACTTTATTCCAAAAACTATTGCTAAGAACTGATTTAGTCGGGGATCGCGAGATGATATCCGGCCACCGTAAGCGGGCATGCGGACGGCAAACGCGGGTAGCTCTCCGCCGGACCGTTCGGCACTCTGATTGGCCGGCTCAAATGAACCAACAAATCAGAATGCCGAAGGCGGTCTCATTTCGAATACTTTAAACGCAACACAAAATCGTACTAAAGCCTCTAAACCAGATCCGAGCGTACGGCGCATAGCGTTTCACGCGCCTCAAAGAGCCATCAGACCACTGACAGATAGACTCATACGCCCCGCCTCCTCCTTAGCTAGCATGACTGCTTCACAAAAGGAGGTGACGGCATCGCTCCGCATCATGACCCTCACTAGCGCCTGACGCGAGAAGTCGCCGTCGCGTATTTGTTACATTGAGGAACCGATTATCACATTAACAGAAATAATAAAAAAGAAGATTAGTATTGTAAAACTGAATATTATTGATATTTTGTAGGGAATTTGGAGTTTCTGGTAAAAATCCATCTCAATCTTTGGATTGAGACTGATCGACACGCACCATGACCTTTTGTATTCTTGCATTGTTGTCTACATGTGTGTCGTGGCATATAATATAATAAAACAGATTTTCTTTCTTTTTTTTTTCATTTTTAGGCTGTTAAAGATTTTGGACTATGATCAGTTTTTTTTTAATTTCAGTTGTTATTCTGTTAATGAATTATTTAGTTTAACCTTCGCTGTTCTATTATTGAAAAATCAGTCATAGTTTATTAAGTGGGTACATTTATCACTGTTACTTTTATTTGAAATGGTATATTTATTGTAAATATAAATATTTTGATGTGAAGCTATTTGTCTGTTTTATTTATTTACCTTGATTTTTTACCTAAAGGGCAGTGTTTCATGGATGGATCGGCAAATGAGCAGACGCATCAACGCATGATGGTTAGCAATCCGCGTTGCCCATTAATATGGATAACACTAAAGGAGTCACTAGTGCGTTACCTGCAGGCTTTTTAAGAAGATTTTTATGCGAAATATACTTGTGTTGTGTCTGGGTTGTAAGCTTAAGGCTTCCCCATCATCGTCATCAAGAGCCCATCCTCATAGATGAGGCATAATCTCCTCAGGCGAAACATACATACATACATAACTTCACGCCTGTCTCCCATGAGGGTAGACACAGACTATGGAACGCCAATTACTACGATTCCTATACCTACACCTCTTTCGCTTCATCAACAGTCATCAATCTTTTCACGCATGCTCGTCGGTTAAGGGTACTTTTAATTTGGACCTTCTTTATTATATCGCCAATCTGGGTACTCTGGGTAGTATATATCCGTTTACCGACGGCCCCATTCATATCCGCTTCATATACTTCTTTCGTTACTCTACTTTCATCCATCCTTTCTACATGTCCAAACCAGCGTAACATTCCCTTTTCAATCCTTGTCACTACATCGTCTTTCAATCCACACTTTTCTTTAATAACACTATTTTCACTCGATCTCTCAATTTTACTCCACGCGCATACTTCTCAGGGCTCTCATTTCCACCGGATTAATCCTGCTTCCAAGCTTCTTCTGCCACACTTATGATTCACTACCCTAAATAAGCGTTGGTGTCTATACAAGCTGCATTACAGCAATTCGAACTTTGACTTTACTGGATATTATTTTACTCGGCATTATAGAGTGTAACTTAATGCACCATTAACATTATTTCCCGCAAAACAGGCTCAGTATAATCAGAGAGCGTCTATAAATTGCTTTTAGCTGTTGGCACCATAGTGTCGTTGTCAGCTCCTAGGGACCTTCCCCAGGCGGGAGAAGTCAAAGTTATTCGATGATTTTTCCCCTTAAAAAAAGGGCCTTCGGTCAAGGCTAGTCAAGTAACAGCAATCGAAATTTTTAATCTGTTTATTTGGCTAGTTTGCTTAGGAAAATGTATGCAGATTCAAGACAATATTATTATGTTAGAAAACAAACTGCACACAGAATAAACTAAACGTAAAAAAAAAGCTTTCTGTCACCATCAAAGCGTCAAACGAGACGCCATATTGTTTATATGTCAGGCAGCAAAATTGTTTGCTTGTCTCCTTTAACTTTATTATTCAATTTAAACCGTAGAATAATTAAATTAAAATGGAAACACTGAGTCTAGACGACCAGTATGATGTTAAAATTGTTTTTGAACCGCCAAAAACTATCTGTAGGTGTTGTTTAACCACTGATAAGCGTATGAATAACGCCGTGGCTTTCAAACAGCTATTTAAGGATTTAGCTGGATTAAACGTGAGTATTGCCTTATTACAGCACTAAACAGAACTTGTTTTACAATGCCAGAGGCATATCTCGACATTTCAAAGCCTTTGAACACGATATTTCGAAGTTCAATCACACATTGTTATGGTTTTAACAATAGCCTGTATTTTTACCGATATGTGGAATTTTTCAGCCAAATTGTTGTTTCTTGTCAATATAATTGTTATTAGAGTCACCAAATGGGTATTCTTTGAGTATCTCACTGAAATACCTTCTAAAAAGCTTACTTTTGTGAGCTTTGGTTACCCAAACAGGTTAAGTAGCGATTATTGCTTCTTTTCGTAGTACAACAACTGTCTGGACTATTGAGAACATCTACCAGTTTCAAGACGCAACAGGACTCTTATTAATGGGCAGGGCGCCATAATTTTAATTTAAATCAGGGCCAGTTCATAATGACTCATTAGCTACTATGTATCAGATAAATTTGAATACAAAACGTAATTTGTATCAACCTATGGTACTTAACCCTGTCAAGCTGTCACTGGTTACTGCTCTCCACTAACTACATTATAGACCTTATTTCCAATGTTTAGAGACTACTTTTGTATAAACATATTTAGGGGATGATTTTCAACAATTTTCATCGGGTTAAGGATTTGGCTGCCAATAGCAAACTGTTGAAGGCAAATCCTCCGCTAGCATTGGTCGCCCCCATGGCATTTATTGTGTTGTTAACAATTGTTATAAATAAAATTTGTCTCTTTGATAAATACATATCACTACATAGTATAAAACAAAGTCACTATCCACTGTCTGTCTGTCCCTATGCATGCTTAGATTTTTTTTTTATGACATAAGCTGATAAACGAGCAGATGGATCACCTGATGGTAAGCATTCGGCGTCGCCCATGGACACCTGGAACACCGGAGGCTTTACAAGTGCGTGACCGGCATTTTGGGGATTAGGAGTTTGAGGATCGTTGGGGACTCAGGGATTGGGGAGATTGCGGAAGTTGAGGGTATTTGGGCCTCTGGTAACCTCACTCACACCACGAAACACAACACAAGCGTTGCTTTGCACGTCGGTTTTCTGTGAGGCCGTAGTATCATTCCAGTCGAGCCGGCCCATTTGTGCCGAAGCATGGCTCTCCCACACTTTAGATCTTTAAAACTAGGCAATGGATTTTGATGCGGTTTTTTCTAATAGATAGAGTGATTCTTAAGGAAGGTTTATATTTATAATACATTTGTATTGCACCTGTGCGAAGCCAGGGCGGGTCGCTAGTGATACATATACCAAAATAACACTTTTTACAATTTTTGTCTGTCTGTTTGTACTGGCAAATCTCTGAAATGGCTAGACTTATTTTGCTGGGACTTTTATTGGCATGTAGCTAATGTACTAAGAAGTAACAAAGGCTAATTTTATTTTAGAAAAACACATACAAAGTCGCCAGCATCAGCTAGTATATAATATAAAATAGGAATAAAATTAATATCTGATATTTTTTTTTCTAAAACAGTAAAAAATCAGCCTAAGTAAATAGTAGCAAAGTAAAATTCGTCCCCCATCAAATATAAAGTAAAAAAGTATGTCTCACTAGTTGTGCTCAAATTGTATCAAATATTTTTAGCGGTATGACCCGGTAAACGAGCTGACGGATCACCTAATGGTAAGCAATTGGCGTCGCCCATGGACACCTGGAATACCAGAGGCGTTACAAGTGCGTTATCTGCCGTTTGGGGATTAGGAATTTAAAGATTATTGGGGATTCGCTGATTGAGGATATTGGGTAATTGTAATTGGTCTCCGGTAACCTCACTCACGACGAATCACAACGCAAATATGGTTTCACTATGGTTTTCTGCTTGTTGGTGGTATCACTCTGGTCGAGCCGGTCCAGCAGTGCCGAAGCATGGCTCTGCTGCACCTAAATTTTAACATTGTTATTGACTGTTGCCTAGGTAACGGAGTCCGATGGTCTACCACAATGGCTCTGCTACGAATGCAGTGCCCTACTACAGAAGTCCGTCAGGTTCCAACAGAAGGTCCAGAAGGCTCATACTATGCTGTATGAGTATCTTGGACGATGTGCTCCAGTGAGTATCGTAAACTTACTTTTTAATATGATGCATTTTAATAAAATTTTTATGTAATGACTGCACGGTTCTCGCTGTGGTTGGGCAACTGGCTACCGTGCAACGTGTTGCGGGTTCGATTCCCGCACAGAACAACACTTTCTGAGATCCACAGGTTGTTGTTCCGGGTCTGTGTGTCATGTGTATGTGAACTTTATGTTTGTACACGTACTCACGATACAGGAGGAAATGCTAGTGTCAGGCACAGCAAGGAAATATATTATAATTTAAATACAAAAAATTACAAACTGACTTCTCAGAATCACAGTACATTTATATGAACAAAAAAAAAAGACCAAATTATTATTATTAGTCAACAAATTATAAATATATTAAAATTGCAGTATAGTTAACAAAATTAGTATTAATATTATGAATTATCATTTAGAAATAGGGCAGTTTACTAAATTTTATTATAATGTCCGTCTGGTAGATTAATATAAAACTTAAATACTTTCAACGGTATATTAATTTGAAATATCGTGTGACGTCACATTTTGTAGCACGTTATGACGTAACGACCTCCCACTCCTAAACTTAGCGCCATTTTATCTAAGTATTGCAACTTAATACGAGAAAATAAAAAAGTAAGTACGTGTCTAATATTTTTTCATTATCTAACTGACGGACTAATTAGATTTTTAATTTTGATACCCTGGAAACTACCGTCATCAAAAAAGTCTTTAAGAGTATAATAGCATTCATCTGCATCCACTGGCTCCCTGCAATTCCGGCGATGTCTTCGGTCCACCTTACTGGAGGCACCAACCGTACTAAATTTTGATCATTAATTATTTCCAGTTCCCAATAGAGCCGCAAGATGAGGAGTTGACGAAGTACGCGAGCCCGCACTTTGGTACGACGCGAGTATTAGCTGTAGATATTTTGGGCAAAGGGAAAGTGGGGCAGTTCGAGGTGTACGAGGTATGTCTATGTATTACACATAGTATAATACTATATTACAGTAGGTACTCGGTTATAAATAACAAAACATCACGCCTTTTATCCCCGAAGCACAGATTACTTTAGTTACTACGTAATTAAGTAAAATCGCGGGTTACTCACGTGAACATACTGAGAAAAGCTCTACTAGTTTCGAATCACAGAGGGGTTCTTACTCATGAGCAGCGTGCGCGTACTACGTAACCCGAAGGGGTAGGCAGAGGTGCACATTATGCCACTGTACAATGTAACACCCACTTTTTATGTTATGAGTCTCATGTTATGTGTATAGTGACCCTATTGTCATATACCGGGCACAATTTCAGTCCGTGCTACAACTGAGATTTTTTTAAAAACCAAATAATTTTTTGAATCGAACCCGAGACCCCTTGCCCGGCAGTCGCGCTTGCGACCACTAGGCTAACGAGGCAGTACTTTCTTTATTATAACGCCAGTCGCCAGAGGGCGCCCTAGACGGACATATACTGGTGGTTAGTATTAGTATATATCCGTCTTTTTTTTAATCATCGAATGACTGCTCCCGCCTGGGTGAGACGGGAGGGAGTGTCAGACTCTTACTGACTAAAAACGACCCCGTTCCTTCTCCTGCACGTCGAGCCGGAGCCCCGGTTACCCGTTAGGTTCTCCGCGACAGTATATGTCCGTCTAGGGCGCCCTCTAACGACGGTCCCATTCATATCCGCTCTGTATACTTCTTTCGTTACTCTACTTTCATCTATCCTTTCTAGTCAATCAATAATCTTCAATTCTAGCATGAGAAACACCATCAGCATTCGGCCTTAGACGATATAATAATTAATAAAATTGAAGAGAATGTCAAGGAAGAAACTGAATTTACAGATTACGAAGACAATATGACTTTAGAAGAATTTAGGTGAGTCCAAATATAATACATAACATCACGCCTTTTATCCCCGAAAGGGTAGGCAGAGGTGTACATTATGCCACTGTACAATGTAACACCCACTTTTCACTATTTATGTTACGAGACCCATGTAGAGGTAATAGGAGGTGAGACTATTGCCATATACCGGCCACAATTCCAGATTCCGCGCTACTCCTGAGATCTATTCAAAAATCGCGTCATAATTAGTTTTTTACGGTGATAAGAGCAGACGGATGACCTGATGGTAAGCAAGCAGCCCATAAACCATAGTTTTTTCTTCTTCTCCTCTTATAATATCTTCTGATTCACTTCGTTGCGGGAACCAAGACAGTTACTCATGTCCCTGGGACGTTGGACTTCAGTGTTCCGGTGTTTTCATGGTTGTGTCTACTGTAGATCCTGGTGCACAGGAGTTGCAGCGGTTTTGGGAGGTTGTGGCGTGCTTGTCCCAAAAAAAAAAAGCAAGCAGCCCATGGACACACGGAACAGTAGAAGCGTTACAAGTGCGTTACCGGCCTTTTGGGGATTGGGGATTTGGGGATTGGGAAAATTGAGGAAGGGGGTAATTGGGTCTACAGTAACCCTCACTCACACGACGATACACAACGCTTTGTTATTTCACTATGGTTTTCTGCTTGGCCGCGGTATCGCTCCGGTCCAGCCGGCTCAGCAGTGCCGGAGTATCGGTCTTCCACACTTAATTACCGCTAGAAACTTATACTATTGAGGATAATATAACAAGGAAACTATTCTGACAATGTTTTCTTTTTTTATATAATATATTAGCGACCCGCCCCGGCTTCGCACGGGTGCAATATGCATGTATTATACATACAAACCTTCCTTAAGAATCATTATATCTATTAAAAAAAACCGCATCAAAATCCGTTGCGTAGTTTTAAAGATCTAAGCATACATACGGACATACAGCGAAAGCGACTTTGTTTTATACTATGTATTGATTGTAGTACTAGCTTACCCGGCAAACTTCGTACCGCCTATTAATGTTTTTTCTCACCTTTTAAACCTTCCCTGGACTTCCACGAACATTTCAAGACTAAAATTAACCAAATCGGTTCAGCCGTTCTCGAGTTTTAGCGAGACTAACGAACGGAAATTGATTTTTATTTATATAGATTTATGCAGTAGGTATAAGTATTTGTTTGGCAGTATATATTATATGGTATGTATATGTCTATACAGATATATAAAATATTGTATTAATATATTTATTCTATAGGTATTTATGTGTGTAGTATACATTATTACATAACTATTTTTTTTATTTTTTCAATTGTGTTCTGGCTTCGCATCGACCACTTCATTTCTCTGCACTTCCCTGTGGTTGACTGTAAGAGAATGCCTTGAGGCATTAAGTCCGCCATTCACTGTTGTAGTTTGTGAAGAAGGAAATAAATAAATATTTTTTTTATAATAAGCCTAATTTTAAACAAATTTATTTCAGATCTGTAGCGAATAAAATAACTGAAGACGACATAGCGTCCCTTCTTCAGGATACGGAGCAAGTAGAAGTGAAGCCAGAGACAGTCACAAAGAAGAAGAAGATTAGAACGAAAGACATTAAGAAGAAGAGAAAAGAGAACAATGTTAACATGTAAGTGTCTTTTTATTTAATACTAGCTTCTACTAGCGGATTTGCCCGCATTCTTGTGGTAAACAGGAGCCTATGTGTTACTCCAGACCATACTCTATAGTGTCGTGGTAGCCCGGAGGTTTAAGACGCCCGCTTCTCATGCATGAGGGTGTGGGTTCGAAACCTACCAACAGCAAGTACCAATGTGACTTTTTCCGAGTTATATGTACTTTCTATCTATCTAGATACCACTGACAAACGGTGAAGGAAAACATCACCAGAAAACCTGGACTTATAATTTCTAATTATAAGTTTGAAATCTCCCCCGCATTGAGCAAACGTGGTGAGTAATGCTCAAACCTTCTCCGTGTGAGAAGAGGCTTTGCTCAGCAGTGGACATATAGGTTGTTGATGATGATGATGATGATACTCTACCCCTGTCCCCAAACTCTCGCGTCCGGGCCTAGTGCAGGCCATGATGCGGAGCGAGGGGGACTGGGATGCCGTCTCCTCCTTTTGCGAAGCAGTCATGCTAGCTAAGGAGGAGGCGGGACGCGTGAGGCAGCGAAGCGCTGCCTCCTCGCAACCCAGCCATCGCGAAGGACACACCGGGCGTCGGGGATCGCGGGACGATCTCCGGCCACCGTAAGCGCGGGCCTGCGGACGGCGAGCATGGGTGGCTCCCCGTCCGACCAGAAACAGACCCGAGCGTACGGCGCCGAGCGACCGAACACAAAGAGCCATCAGACCACCACAAATGGGGCCCAACAGGGCTGATACCGATTCGGAGTCGCGGAGAACCTAACGGGTAACCGGGGCTCCGGCTCGACGTGCAGGAGAAGGAACGGGGTGGTTTTTAGTCAGTAAGAGTCTGACACTCCCTCGCGCCTCACCCAGGCGGGAGCAGTCATTCGATGATGTTCCCCCCTTAAAAAAAACTCGATCCCTTCAACCGTTTTGACGTGGTTGAGTATCAAACACACACACGAACACGCACATTTTCGTATTTATAATATTAGTACGATTCCTACAGTTTCACTCGTTCACTCTATTCCTATTGATCGTAGTGTGATGTTTTATAGCCTATAGTCTACCTCGATAAGGGACCGGCCATATTACGTCACACGGTAAGGGGTAGCGAGGGGGGCGGCGAAGTGTGACAAGGGGGAGGGAGGGATCCTAAACTCTGTGATGTCACATTTCAAAAACTATAATAAAACACGAAATATAATAATTGTATTAATGTATTTTATTTTGTTTGATTTGTTATTAATATTTTTTTTAAATAGAAATAAAATTGATTTCGGAACCGCTGTTTTCATTCAATAATTTTTATACTTACGTAATTCTGCAAAACTGTGACGTCACACTATAGGGGGGGGGGGAGGGTCTCACAAATGTGAGACAAGGTTAACGAGCAGATAGTACAACTAGTATTACATAACATCACGCCTTATTATCCCCGAAGGGGTAAGCAGAGGTGTACATTACGGCACTTAATGCCGCTGTACAATGTAACACCCACTTTTCACTATTTATGTTATGAGTCCCATGTAATAGGGGATGAGCTAGTATTACTATACATATATTACTGTCTTATTTACAGAGATTCAGCGAAGGAGGATTCTGGTGACGAACCGAAGTCTTCGATTAGGAAACCGGTAGAATTGGACCCGAGTAAGATACGAGTGGTTACTTTAAACCCAGAGGAGCAAATCAAACAGAGACAGGTGAGCTATATACAGTTATATATAAAGAACCACCGCTACACTTCACGCGGGTGTCATATACCCGACAGGTGATTAATAAGTGCCCGTTGCTTAACAAAGACCTAGCTTCTACCAGTGGCTTCTCCCGCGTTTCCATGTATGTGATTTTGTTTGTGTGTGTGCATTGTTTCGTCGTGTGAATGAGGTTACCGAAGGCCTAATTACCCCCCTCCTCAATTTCCCCAATACCCGAATCCAATAATCCTCAAATTCCTAATCCCCAAAAGGCCGGTAAGGCACTTGTAACGCCTCTGGTGGTCCAGGTGTCCATGGGCGACGACGATTGCTTACCATCAGGTGATCCGTCTGCTCGTTTACCGGCTTATGCCATAAAAAAGATTGAAGGGATAAAGTTAAGCATCAAGCTTCCTTGTGCGTACTGCTAAGGAGTGGAATTGTTTGCCAGAGTCTGTATTTCCTGAAGGGTATAACCTGGGTGTCTTCAAGTCCCGAGTGAATAGGTTGCTTATGGGACGACGTGCTCCATCGTAGACCGCGTCATCGTGCACCACCAGGCGAGATAGTGGTCACACGTCGACCAAGCGAATATAAAAAAAAAATTGGATTGAAATTTGGAATAACTCGGGCGAAGCCACGAAGCTAGTATATATAAACCTTTCTTAAGAATCACTCTATCTATTAAAAAAAACCGCATCAAAATCCGTTGCGTAGTTTTAAAGATCTAAGCATACATAGAGACAGACAGACGGCGGATAGCGACTTTGTTTCATACTATACTAGCGACCCGCCCCGGCTTCGCACGGGTGCAATATGCATGTATTATACATACAAACCTTCCTTAAGAATCACTCTATCTATTAAAAAAAACCGCATCAAAATCCGTTGCGTAGTTTTAAAGATCTAAGCATACATACGGACATACAGCGAAAGCGACTTTGTTTTATACTATGTATTGATAGTGATATCACTGCCTCGTTGGTAAAGTTCAAGAGTTCGATTCGCGGGATGGGCAATGTATTACTGGGTGTTTTAAAAAAAATCTCAGTAGTACCACGGAGTCTGGAATTGTGCCCGGTATATGGCAATAGACTCACCCCCTATTACATGGGACTCATAACATAAATAGTGAAAAGTGGGTGTTACAATGTACAGTAGCATTAAGTGCCGTAATGTGCATCTTTGCCTACCCCCTCGGGGATAAAAGGCGTGATTTTATGTTGTTTGAAACTAACAATTTAATATAATTGTTCCAGGAAGAAAGTAAAAACGGTAAAAAATATCCGTTTCTATGCAATTTGTGTTATAAAGGCTTTAATTTTGAGTCTAAATTGCAAAATCATATGAACAAGCACAGTCCGGTAAGTCCTTTATTTTGAACAATTACATCTTTATTAATGTACATAATAGGGTAGATGACTAATTTTTATTTTAATGTCCGTCTGGTAGATTATTTTAAGCAAGAGCTTAAGTTAACAATAAATGTCTCTGACTGCGACAGCTAAAGGTTGATTTAGGTGTTCCCTCAAGCATGAGGTAACACCTAAACCAACCTTTACCTTAGCAAAGTAAGTCTCAGTTAAGAAAAGATTTAGTAAAAAAGACCATTAATAATATTTTCTGCCACCCGACCTTGAAAATTTGCTTAACCTTCCAGTCTCGAGGGCCGTATGAATGCAAGATATGTCACATGTATCTGCCTACGTCGTACAGTTTTAGTGTACACTCACTCATACATACACGGAGATATGAATGTTTAGTCTGTGGCCGGCGGATGATCGACAAACCGTCTATTATTGAACATTACAGGTAATTTTTTTGTTATTATGAGTTTGGATGTTGAGTATCTCTAGTAGAATGAGTGTGGATGTTGAGTATTTCTTGTATCATGAGTATGGATGTTACCTTGTTTGAGATTATGAGTGTGGAACTGTGGATGTTGAATATTTAGGGTATAATGAGTGTGGATGTTGAGTATTTCTTGTATAATAAATGTGGATATTGAGTATTTCTAGTTTAATTAGTGTGGATGTTGAATATTTCGAGTATAATGAGTGTGGATGTTGAGTATCTCGTGTATAATGAGTGTAGATATTGAGTATTTCTAGTTTAATTAGTGTGGATGTTGAATATTTCGAGTATAATGTATGTGGCTGTTGAGTTTTTCCAGTATAATGAGTGTGAATGTTACCTTATTTGAAGTTATGGGTGTGGATATTGAGATTATAAGTGTAGATGTTTCGTATTTTTGTATCTATATCCCCATCAGTCCTCATAGAACTCTAGTTAATATATTAATTAGGTATTTGATTTGTGTTCCAGAACACAACATGAAGGGTTACTCAGTAATTTCACGTGTCAAATATGCGGTAAAGTATCCAAGTAAGTAATTTTAAATATATACTAGCTCTATTATACTAGCTTTTACCCGCGGCTTCGCTCGCGTCACATAAGGAAAAACATTACCCTCCTTCTTTGGCAGTCGGGTAAAAAAGTAGCCTATGTGACATATACCAATTCACACAGCGCCATCTATACCAATACTCTTGTTTTCCCTCGGAAATATCAAATTTTTCCGGGATAAAAAGTACCCTATTATTTAATCCGGACTTCTAACTTTACGTATGCAAAAATTCAAAGTAATCGGTTTAGTAGTTACGGCGTGAAAGCGGAACAAACAAACAAACTCACTTTCCGATTTATAATATTAGTTAAGGATTACGGATTAAGGATCATACTAACATTATAAATGCGAAAATTTGTCTGCTCGTGTGTACGTCAAAACGGCTGAAGGGATCGCGATAAAATTTGGAACACGGATAGATTGTGTTTATATTAAATCTTTTGTGCGATATACTATGTCACAAATGAACGCGGGTCAAGTCGCGAGCAGAAGTTAGTATAGATACATAACATCACGCCTTTTATCCCCGAAGTGGTAGTCAGAGGTGCACATCCACTGTACAATGTAACACCAAATGTTCACTATTTATGGTACGAGTCCCATGTAATAGGGGGTTGTAATTTTATCAATATACTAGCTTCTGCCCGCGACTTCGTACGTCGCACGTACGTGTCGTGTCTCCCATTCCCGTAGGATTTTCAGGATTTTTTTCTATCATAAGAACCTTCCCCTGACAATAACAAACACAACAAAAAAAAAAATCAGCCAAATCGCTCTAGCCGTTCTCTAGTTATGGCGTGACAACGGGAAACGAGTTTCATTTTTATAGGTATATATACTAGCGGACCCAACAGACGTTATCCTGCATATCCACTTGAATGTATAAACAAAAATTCATTATTAGTTCAGCCGTTTAGGATAAATAACCTAAACATCGACTGCAGCGCCATCTGCCGGGCTCATTTGTGAATCTAAACCATCCAAGGCACCACTCAAACACGTACAGAAAAATTCATTTAAATCGGTCAAGCCGTTTAGGAAGAGTTCAATGATATACACACGCACAGGAGAATAGGCGTGTCGACAGGGTAAAAAAATCAAAAAAGTAATTAGTCCGTCATTAAGATCGCACGAAAATATCAGACACGTATTTTTTGTTTTATCAAATTAACAGAAGAATACGTAGTTATTCCGCATTAAAGTTAGGGAGTGGGGGGTGTTGACGTCACACTTACGGAGAAATCGTACCTAATTGTGGCGTCACGCGTCATTTTAACTCAAAATATCTACATGTTTTTTTGGATACGAGAAAAAAGAAAAAATACGTATCGAAGATTTTTAAAATATCTAAAAGACGGACAAAAAATTAAAAAGTGGTCGCCATGCCTATTATATATATAAAGATAATGTAGATTACGTTGTTTGCAGTAATAGCAAGACGCATAGAAGCCACATGAGAAACAACCATGGCGGCGACAGACCGAAGTGTGATCAGTGTGGGAAGACATTCATCAATAAGGACTCGTTAATTGAACATCAACAGTAAGTACTCGATATAGCTCGACGTGCAGGAGAAGGAACGGGGTGGTTTTTAGTCAGTAAGAGTCTGACACTCCCTCCCGCCTCACCCAGACGGGAGCAGTCATTCGATGATTCTCAAAGACACCCTTCAAAAAAAATGTACTCGACATAGTGGCCACATGGAATAACAATAATAAAGTAGTCCAAGTCAAAATCAAAATATTTTTTTATGTGGTAAGTCGGTAAACGAGCAGACGGTTCACCTGATGGTAAGCGATCGGCGTCGCCCATGGACACCTGGAACACCAGAGGCGTTACAAGTGCGTTACCGGCCTTTTGGGAATTCTTGGAAATTCAGGGATTAGGGAGATTGGCCAAGGAGGGAGGGGGGGGTTAATTGGGCCTCCAGTAACCTCACTCACACGTCGAAACACCGCTGTGGTTGTTTCACTATGATTTTCTGCTCGTTAGTGGTATCACTCCGGTCGAACCTCCGTGATATTACTGAGATTTTTTTTAAAAACCCATCAATATTTTGCCCGACCCGGAAATCAAACCGAGACCGCTTGCCCGCCAGTTGCGAAGCAGTATGCTTCGGCACTGCTGGACCGGCCCGACCGGAATAATACCACCAACGAGCAGAAAACCACAGTGAAATAACTACAGCGTTGTTTAATGTCGTGTGACTGAGGTACCGGAAGCCCAATCCCTAATAATCTTCAAACTCCTAATCCCCAAAAGGCCGGTAACACACTTGTAACGCCTCTGGTGTTCCAGGTATCCATGGGCGACGCAGATTGCTTACCATCAGGTGATCCGTCTGCTCGATTACCGGCTTGTACCATAACAAAAAAAAAACTATAATTTCAGAATACATCTCGGTATAAAGAACTATGAGTGCACAGTATGCAACAAACGGTTTCGAACCCGGACTCAGATTCACAACCATCAGATGTCTCACACAGATGTCAAGGAGTTCTACTGCGTCGAATGTGATGTCAGGTGAGGTATCAGAAAGAAAGAAAGAAAGAAGAAAGAAAAAGCATGTATTTGGCAAATGGCACACAAACAAAGATTATGAAAAATAAAGATACAGATACTTACATATATACATAATAAATATTATCAAAATATAACATAATAATTTACATACAATACAAAACAAATGCAATGAGTTTTTCATATAAAGAAAGATAAATATTCGAAAATAAAAACTAAACGTGTCTAATGTCGTGGTGGCCCGGAGGTTTAAGACGCCCACTTCTCATGCATGAGGGTGCGGGTTCGAAACCTACCAACGGCAAGTACCAATGGGACTTTTTCCGAGTTCTATGTACTTTCTAAGATTATTTAGACACCACTGACAAACGGTGAAGGAAAAACATCGTGAGGAAACCTGGACTTATAATTTCTAATTATAAGTTTGAAATCGCACACCCGCATTGAGCAAGCGTGGTGATTAACGCTCTAACCTTCTCCGTGTGAGAAGAGGCTTCGCTCAGCAGTGGGCATTTATAGGCTGCTGATGATGATGAAAAACTAAACATAGATAATATAATACATTGTAATATTGTAGTGTGTGAGCACATGCCAAAAGGGCCTCCACCTCAGCATATAGTTGATCAACATCGATATTGCATTCATTTATCACTAGCGAGCCGCCCCGGCTTCGCACGGGTGCAATGCTTATATAAATATACATAACATCACGCCTTTTATCCCCGAAGGCGTAGGCAGAGGTGCACACAGAAGTAACACCCACTTTTCACAATTTATGTTATGAGTCCCATGTAATAGGGGGTGAGTCTGTTGCCATATACCGGGCACAATTCAAGACTCCGTGCTACTACTGAGATTTTTTTTAAAACCCAGTACTACTTTGCCTATCCCGGGAATCGAACCCGAGACGCCTTGCCCGGCTGTCGCACTTACGACCTCTCGGCCAACCAACAGTCGGGTATACGATACCAGCGGGAAGAGTAGCAGTGGTTATAAATTTATTATATTTTTTACAGATTTAAAACTGCTAGTGGCTTGAAGACGCATTTATCGAAGAGCATGAAACACAGGGACAAGCAGAGCTTAAAGTAAGTAGTTCCTACTAATATTATCAACTAGCGACCCGCCCCGGCTTCGCACGGGTGCAATATGCATGTATTATACATATAAACCTTCCGTAAGAATCACTCTATCTATACTCGGAATTTTAATTCGATTCCAGATTTGACAATTTCAGTGTTGCAACGTTATGACAATTACTAAATAGTGACGTTGCGAAATTATTCGATATGGAAATGGAATATTTCTGGATCGATTGTTCTCGTTTATAATTTTACTCTTGTAAACTAAGTATATCAGGAAATTAAATATTTCTGAACCGATAATTTAGTTTTGACGATTAATTAACGATCTGAGAGTTTTCTTTTATAATTGTGTGTGAAATAAATAAAAAAATGTAATCATGAAGGAACATGGCAAATAAAGCAGATAGATGTATTATGGTAATAAGTTATTTTATAAATTGTCGCCGTCATCGCTATCGCTATCCTGTCACTTTCTGTAACATTTATTATAAAACACACACACTGATTGTTTATCGATTTTTGTGCTCATCACTACACTATTATATGTGGTATCATTATTTCACAAAATGACAGTAGGTATTGTCAAATCTGGAATCTAATTAAAATTCTGACTATAATAAAAAGACCACATCAAAATCCGTTGCGTAGTTTTAAAGATCTAAGCATACATAGGGACAGACAGACGGCGGATAGCGACTTTGTTTTATACTATGTAGTGATTTGATAGTATTTGTCTGTTTGTTTGTCCGTCTTTCACTGCAAAACGGAACGATGTATTAATGTGTTTTTTTAAGTGAACATAGCTGAAGGCATGGAGAGGGACATAGGGATTATTTTGTATATTTAATGGGCCGACGTGTGTCCACTATCTCGCCTGGTGGTGCACGATGACGCGGTCTACGATGGAGCACGTCGTCCCATAAGCAACCTATTCACTCGGGCCTTGAAGACACCCAGGTTATACCCTTCAGGAAATACAGACTCTGGCAAAGAATTCCAGTGTTTGTTAAACTTTTTTTTTAAGGGGGGATAATCATCGAATGACTGTTCCCGCCTGGGCGAGGTGGGAGGGAGTGTCAGACTCTTACTGACTAAAAACCACCCCGTTCCTACTCCTGCACGTCGAGCCGGAGCCCCGGTTACCCGTTGGGTTCTCCGCGACAGTGTTTAATTAGGAGGTTTTAGTGTATTAATTAACCGACTTAAAAGAGAGGGGGTTGAAGTCGGTTTTTTAAACATAGTTTATAGAATAATTATCTATACATATAATAAAAGTGTAGGAAAGTGAAAACTGTACATCGAATATTTATTTAAAAGAATGCTTTGGACGTGATCTGCAGTCGATACCGAAACCAAATATATGTTTTTTTGATTGTTTGTCTGTTTGTCTGTTTGCATTTTCGGGATGAACTCAAAAAGTGCTGCATGGATTTACTTCAAATTTTGCATGAATATTACTTCCAATTCGGGTCAATATATAGGCTACATATTATCATGCTATTAACTATAGGGGAGGAGCTGTGAATCACTATTCCACGCGGACGAAGTCGCGGGCTCAACTAGATAACTATAATTAACGATAAATTATCATTTTAGACACGCCTGCACCCGTTGCCCAGCTCGTTACGCGTGCGCGACATCCCTGGCAGCGCATATACGCGTCCAACACGAGGGACTCCGCCCCCACGTATGCGGGGACTGCGGGGCTGCGCTAGCGACACGGTCCTCGCTCGCTAAACACATGCATTCCGTACACTTGGGCCTTCGCCCCCCGCCGAGACATGTGTGTGATACCTGTGGGAAGGCGTTTAGGGTGAGTTTTTACGTACATACATACATATATCTCGCCTTGAATCCCCGAAGGGGTAGGCAGAGGTGCACATTTCGACACTTAATGCCACTGAACAATGTAACACCCACTTTTCACTATTTATGTTATGAGTTCCATGTAATAGGGGTGTGAGCCTATTTCCATATATCGGGCATTCCCAGACACCGTGCTACTAGTGAAAATTTTTTTAAAAGACCCAGTAATACTTTGCCTGATCCGGGAATCATACTCAAGACCCCTTGCCCGCCAGTTGCACTATTAGATGCTTGTCTAGGGCACTCTCTAAGTTTATTCCGCCTCGGTCGAAACATGTACGTCTTACATGCTTCGACCGGACTGATACGATGGCCTCGCAGAAAACCGTCGTGAAGCAACGCTTGCATTGTTTCGTCGTGTCAGTAAGGTTACCGGAGGCCCAATTACCTCCCCCTCGCCTACCTTAATCTTCCCAATCCCAGAGTCCCCAATAATCTTCAAATTCCTAATTCCTAAAACGCCGGTAACGCACTTGTAACGCCTCTGGTGTTCCGTGTGTCCATGAGCGACGCCGATTGCTTACCATCAGGTGATCCGTCTGCTCGTTTATCAGCTTCATCATCATCAACAGCCTATAAATGCCCACTGCTGAGCAAAGCCTCTTCTCACACGGAGAAGGTTTGAGCATTAATCACCACGCTTGCTCAATGCGGGGGCGATTACAAACTTATAAATAGAAATTATAAACCCAGGTTTCCTCGCGATGTTTTCCTTCACAGTTTGTCAGTGGTGTCTAGATAATCTTAGAAAGTACATATAACTCGGAAAAAGTCACATTGGTACTTGCCGTTGGTAGGTTTCGAGCCCGCACCCTCATGCATGAGAAGCGAGCGGCTTAAACTTCCGGGCCACCGCTACCTCGTAACGGCTTATCTCATAAAAGAAACTGCATCAAAGCTGATTTTTAAAATGATTTTATCTTTGTTCTACCCAGGGTAAAAGTGTCTTGATCAACCACGCTCGGACTCACACTGGCGAGAAACCATTCGAGTGTCACCACTGTGGACGAAGGTTCGCACAGCGCACGTCTATGCGCACTCACGTCAAACTCGTACATCTTAAACTGCGGCGGAGCGGGAAGGTAACTATCTTCTTTATATATATTTGGTGGGCCGACGTTTGCCCACGATCTCGTTGGTAAGCGATAATACGGTCTACGATGGAGCACGTCGTCCCATAAGCAACCTATTCACTCGGGCCTTGAAGACACCCAGGTATACCCTTAAGGCAAAGACTCTGGCAAAGAATTCCACTCCTTATCTATTTTGTTGCGTGACTTACCCTAGCTTTATAGTGTTACTTACCCGTAGTGTAATTTACCCCAACGTGTTCACGGACAAATTCTTGCTTTGTCCGTGTTTTCATTGCATAATAACCTCGTATATTAAACTATCAAACACCAAGCGGTCACCGGTGACCGCAACCTATTGTTCTATAATTGTGTCGACAAAACCGGTACTCGACGAGTTAAAATTCGCAACTAAATTTGGCCATTACCAATAACGTTTAAATATCTTAGTCGAGAAATCGGGTACCTTCCACGCAGGATATTATGGTTCAATCCTCGCCTCGAATGTTCGTACTTTTTAAATCTTATAATAATCTAATCTTATTTTTTTTAATACTAAAACAAACACCGGTCATCCAGCTACATCTACTTTATATTGTAACTTACCCCCTACTCAAATAGTGTAATTTACCCCTTTACCCGACATTACAGGGTACCATAATACGGGGTAACAGGTATTATAGAATTTTTACACAATAATTTCTTAACAAAATTTTTGCTATTGCAGGTAAAACCAGTAGCGATAATAGACGTCCAATCCTCTCGAGTCGACGTGTTTAAACCTGAGCCACCTGTAGCAGAGACCTGGCGGCAACCCTGCGACGTCTACTTCCAAGTGACTGCGGGGCCCTGAAACCTGTGGACCTCAAAAATCAGTAGGCCCCCGAGAGCTATGGGGCGTTGAAAGCTGTGGATCACTGAGAGATATAGTGCCCAAATGTATTATGCCTCTGATGCCTAAGGGGTCCGAATACATGTGGGGCCCATAAGAATAAAGGGCCGTAAAATCTGCGTGTACCTTAGAAATACGGGGGCCCAAAACATGTTGGGCCCATAATGCAAACTTGCACCCAAAAACCTGCGTGCCATGTTGAGATACGCAATCGTTTTAACTATACAACGAAAAATAAATTTTAAATTAATTTAAAATTCCTGAAAAAAGTTAATTATTTTTATTAATTATGATTATCGATGATTGGGTTTTATATTATAAATATAATAGGGTAGTTTCCTAAATTTTATTTTAATGTCCGTCTGGTAGATTAATTTAAAACTTTAGACACATATTTTTTCTTTTTTCACAAAATTAAATACTTTCGACGATATATTAATTTGAAATATCGTGTGACGTCACGGCGTGCCACATTTTGTAGCACGTTATGACGTAACGACCTCCCACTCGCTAAACTTAGCACAATTTTATCTAAGTATTGCAACTTAATACGAGAAAATAAAAAATACGTGTCTAATATTTTTTCATTATCTAACTGACGGACTAATTACATTTTTAATTTTGATGCCCTGGAAACTACCCAATTTATGCATGCGTCACTGCCTGTATTTTATCATGTACTAGCTGACAAAGCAAACTTCGTACCGCCATTTTTTACGTTTTAAACACTCCATGAACATTTCAAAACCAAAGGGAGCCAAATCGGTTCAGCTTTTTTCGGATTTTAGCGAGATCAACGAACGGAAATTCATTTTTATTTATATATAGATATCTGAGTCCAAGATCTTAACTCGTCGAGTACCGTCATTATAGACACAATTATAGAACAATAGGTTGCGGTCACCGGTGACCGCTTGGTGTTTGACAGTTTAAAACATAAATTATACAGCCATCTTACTATCAAGTGTACTTAGTTATTCTGATGCCGATGCATTGAAACGTACTTATAATATCGATATGATCTCAATAAAAGATTTTATTTGAAAACTTGATGATACAATTTTTTTTAACCTGTTCGTTGAAAATTCCCCGCCCTCCTGACGACAGATCGATCAGGGTGCTTACTCAATCTCCAATCCAATAAAATCTCAATAATTATTCAATGTCGACACTATACAACCACAATCGTAGCTGTTACAATAGCATTCAGAGTACGGAATATAAAGACAAACTCAATACCATTTAGTTCATTCAATATCCGCGCAATACGGCAATGAGCGCTAGTGTTGCAACTCAAGAGCACGACACAATACCAATGTCGATCGATCGGAATTGGATTCAAGAGTAAGCCCCCTGATATTTGGTACACACTCTTAATCTTGATGGCCATACAATATAATCTAAATGTTCCACAACTACCTCCATTATGGATATCAAACGAAAGGACTTGATTGGTAGAATAGCTTTGGCATATACAATATTTTTGTGTATAACTTGTCATATTCTTCAACTGATGGTAGCGTGGACTATTCAAGCGTTACATTATCATCAACAGCCTATATGTCCCCTGCTGAGCAAAGCCTCTTCTCATATGGAGAAGGTTTGAGCATTAATCACCACGCTTGCTCAATGCGGGTTGGCGATTACAAACTTATAATTAGAAATTATAAGCCCACATTTCCTCACGATGTTTTGGCGATACATACCCACATATAATTGTGTTCAAATAAAGTAATTATGAAAAGTTTTCTAAGTACTTAGTTCAGTTTTTATGTATATAAGATAATAAATTAATTGTGAACTGATTGTATTTTAAATATAAACGATTTTTGGATTAAATTTACTGTTTTTCTCTCTCAATTTTATTATAATTATGACTGTGTACACCCTTAAACTGTCTCTTAACTAAAAGCTACTTGGCGTTGGCACCTTAGGTAACTTGTTTTTTATGGTATAAGCCGGTAAACGAGCAGACGGATCACCTAATGGTAAGTTGTTTCACATCGCTTTTCTGTGAGGCCTTGGTATCACTCCGGCCGAGCCTGCCTATGCGTGCCGAAGCATGGCTCTCCCATACTTAAGTGTCTACCTAACTTATACTGTTAGGTGTCACTTACAGCTTAGTGAAAACTAAAATGTCGTTAAGTTTTTTTTATGGAACATGAGGCAAAAGAGCTGACGGATCACCTGATGGTAAGCGATCGACGCCACCCATGGCCACTCGCAACATCACAGGTGCGTTGCCGGCCTTTTAAAAAGGAATACGCTCTTTTCTTGAAGGTTTGAAGGTCGTATCGGTTCGGAAATACCGCCGACGACAGATCATTCCACAGTTTTGCTGTGCGAGGCAGAAAGCTACGTGAGAAGCACCACAGTTATGGCCTGCCAACCATCTATATGATGGGGATGCATATGCTGTCGTGAGGGTCGATGGCAAAAAGACGCAACAGGTATCAGACCAAACAATTCCTCAAAGCACTCTCTGTGGTATAAGCGATAGAAGTGCCACTTATCTTAGACAAGGGTTGCTTAAAATTTTGATAAGGCTGGAAACGTATCTTAGTCCATTAACGATATGAAATGTTTATAAACAAACCACAGTTGCTACATCTGTCCACAGCAGCAAGCAATGCGATGTGCTTGTATAGATTTGACCTGGATTTTAGTGTTACATTATTCTCGCACAATCCAAACAACAAAACTATGTAACTAGAGAATTGTATTGTGAACCTGATTGTAAAAGAGTAACCTAGGTATGGAGTTTCTTGCTCGTTCTTCGACGTAGGAATCTTCACCTTGGAATGAGCAAATAGCTTCACTTTGAATTTTTAATAACTTACGTTCAAAACTGTCTTTCTGGTCTAATTGAAATAAATGATTTTGACTTTGTCAGTAAATAGAGGGAGAGAGGGCGGGAGTGTGAATCATACAGACGTATTGTAGTTTTGTACCGTAAAATGGGGTGAATAGGGATCGAGAGGTGAATAGGGGCAGAAGAGGGGTGAATAGATATAAGGAAATTGTTCATAGTATCGATTCACCCCTCTTCTGTCCCTTTTCGCCGCTCAAACCCTATTCACCCCATTTTACCGTTACTTAGTTTTGTCCTATCGCGATGGAAATCCTCATGGACTTCTCACGTCGTGGGGACTACGGGGGCGTGTGCCGGACTCTTACCGGCTAAAACCACTGCAGTGTTCCTCCACTGCCTGTGACTGTGACCCGGGTTGCCCTTACGGAATCACCACACCCGGCAGGCATCAACTTACAGCTATTTTTGCGATCCTGGAAGACTGCTTCCTTTCCTCGAGTTACTTACTACTTACAATTTGTTTATAAACATTTCACAGCGTTTTCGTTCTACATTTCATTTCAAATAGTAGCCTAAGTAAAAAATGGTAGAAATTTAAATATTGGTCTTGGCAACACTAATTTTAATGTTACCATGTCGCGACTTACGATGTTCGTCATAGATTCCCACAACGCGACATCACATCGTGGTATGACACGACGTCGTTTCGGGTTTAAATGTGTCTCGGCCATCACGCGATGTCCGTGTCGACATGTGTGTATTCTGCATGGACGTCTAAAGTAGCCAAATCAGTGGTCTCAAGAGACTGTGTCCGCCATTTTTTCAACGTCTTTGCAGGAGCTGATTACAGCTGATTGTAAAACAGTAACTTACGGAGTTTCTTATGCCCTATACTTATTATAATCTTTGGTTTCTTGCTCGTTCTTGTACATAGGACTTTGGACCAAGTAAAAATGTCTTCACTAAAGGTCAGAGGCCTTAGTACGACTTTGTTTTACGCTTGAAAGTAAACGTAACGATTACGCGTTCGGCGCTCTGATTGGTTGGTTCATTGGCGCCGGCCAATCAGAGTGCCGAACGCGTACTCGTTTCGAATAACTTTAAACGTAAATTAAACTCGTGCTAAGGCCTCTGAGGCTCTGACCGACAGACTGACACTTAATTTTTTTTATTTGTTGACGTTCAAAAGTGTCTACCTGGTCTAATTTAAATCTTGTTTTGAAATTGGCTTTGACTCAGTATAGTTTCTTATATTTTTAAAAAAAAGGGCGAAAAGAAAACAATGTTTAAATAACAAGGTGTATATTTTTGATTACAAAACAATAAATATAAAAAAACGTTAAAATATCAGATTGATCGAGTGGTCGGGTGCAACTATTGAGCTAGAGGTGATGGCCAGTTCAAATAAAGTGATATTGAATATTATCGGTGTTAAAAAAATTCTCAGTATGATGTCTAGCCGTTTTCACCAACCGCCTCTTAACTAAAAGATACCTACTTATTGCCTTTTTATGTGTTAAGCCGGTCAACGAGCAGACGGATCACCTGTTGGTAAGCAATCGGCGTCGCCCATGGACACCAGAGGCATTACAAGTGCGTTACCGACCTTTTGGGAATTATGTACGTATGTATTGTGAACCTTATTGGAAAAGAGTAACCTATGGAGTTTCTTGCTCGTTCTTCTACATAGGAATCTACACCTTGGAATGGGCTTGGAATAATTAGCTTCACTTTTGAATTTCTATTGCTGACGTTCAAAAGTGCCTTCATAGTCAAAAAGTGCGTCACCGGCTTTTTGGGGATTAGGAGTTTGAGGATCGTTGGAGATTCAGGGATTGGGGAAGGGGAAGGTAATTGGGGTCCGGTCTAACTGAAATAAATGATTTTGATTTTGACTTTGACTATGACTTTGAGGATTGTTGGGGAATCGGAGATTGTGGAGATCGGGGATTAACTGTACCTCCGGTAACTTCACTCACACGACGAAACACAACGCAAGCAATCGAGTATCACCCCGGTCGAGCCGGCTCAGTAGTGCCGAAGCATGGGTCTCCCACACTTAAAACGTAGCACCTAAACTAACGCTTTACGGTTAGCTTGATAAGAACCAAAATGCCGTTAAATATCACCTATCTTAGCTAAGAAGCCTTCTTCAAATTTAGGAGAAGACGGTAAAAACGGCTAATTTACGTCTCGTATTACATGGGACTCATAACATATTTAGTGAAAAGTAGGTTACATTGTATATTTGTTTGCACCTATGTGTACCAGACCGGTAGTATTTAATCCTTGCTGGAATGTTCACATGTGAGCACATAGATCGGTGGCGCGGGTACCAACAGCACTGGAGCATCTGCAATTAAAACTTTGTTATTAAGCTTTCCGTAACCACTACTTGTATCAGAAATGTAACGGGACGGCACTGCGTCCTGAGATACAGGCAACGCCTAGTTCAGAGCTTAATGTATTTAGATGTTGGTATATGAATAAAGAATAATTATTATGTATGTCTTTATCATTCACGGGACCGCAAGGTCCCGGTCATTTGGGGGGCGTACGAAGGGCCAAAGCCAACTGCGCGATGGCCCTTTAGATAACTTAAATCTAAATGTAATGGACACACAAACCGGCGACATTCCCTGTGTGCACTATGGAAATGCACCCAACGACAGTCCCCGGTTAGTGTAGAACTATTGTGGATAATGGAAGAAAAAAGGTAGGGCTATGGATGGGTTGCTGTGGACTGGTAAATTGGGAACTATGGATGAATAATATGGTACCTGCTGAAACAATGTAAGTATTGCACGTAAAAATGGCAGGCGGAGACTTGCCAACTTACCGACCGGGCCCCGGAAATAGTTGCTAGATATAGCAACAGAGGGGCAACGAGAATGTGAGTGGCTGAAGGGTTAAGAAACTACCACCGCTTTCTACTCAGATCATCAGCTCCAACCGAAGCCTCCTGCATCCCTGGTCCACTCGCGACTTACGAATAGTTTCTTACCCTCCGAGCACCGAGCAGGATCACTGCTCTCGCGACTCCAATCTAAATGGCCAATGAAGGTAAGCCAGAGGTGGGAGATGCACTTGTATGTAAGTTTTTTTTTGTAACCATGATATATGAAGTCATTACATTATTTACAACTTTGAACTTACCACAAATATTATTGCAATGATTTTTCAAATTGTCCAAAGACCCGTGGTGGCAGTTTTTGCTGAAAAATCATATTTTTGTATTAATTTTCATTTTTAGGTGTGGCAACACTAATGATTGTATATGTCAATTTGAAATTATTAGTAATAGAATAATATAGATTGTGTTGCATACAAGTAATTAAAGTACGTATTTGATGCCGAATTTTTGTCAGTCGATTTTCATTCATCAGAAAAGGTAAGTATTTTATCATTTCCTCGTAGTCATTAGCCCTCTTCTCCTTCAAAGGCAGGGCATGTGCATAGGCGGCATAGATCGCATATTTCATCAAGAGATCCAACTTTACATTTATAAAATACGATCCGATTTCCGAATGGGCCAGCTCGACCGGAGTGATACCACGGCCTCATAGGAAACGTTGAACGTTGTGTTTCGTCATGTGAGTGAGGTTACCGGAGACCCAATTACCCTCTCCTTCCCCAATCTCCCCAATCCCTGAATCCCCAACGATCCTCAAACTCCTAATCACATCATTTCGTTGTTTTGTTGTTTTGCATTCTTGTTCGCTGGCGATTAGTAAAGCTGGCGGGACGCCATTACGTCACCCAAGGAGATGCTGAAAATCAGCGCTGCGACGCTAACCTCTTGAGGTTTAAGTCGCAGAAATTGCTGAGCATTATCCTGTTTTTGCGCACGCATACATGACGCACAATATTATGACCACAGAGCATGTAACAATGGCATGGGCAGTGTTTCCTTGTCTATGGTCCACAGATAATGTTAGATATTAAATATTCTATCATTTCAGTAAAATAATAAGTCTGTGGACCATGGACAAGATCTCACTTCATTTTAATATTTTAGCTTTTTTTGTTTTCTTTTTATTTTTTAAATAATTATGTTATGTGTGTTTTGCGCAGAAATAAATGGTTTTTCTTTCTTCTTTTCTTTCTTTCTAATCCCCAAAAGGCCGGTAAGGCACTTGTAACGCCTCTGGTGTTCCAGGTGTCCATGGGCGACGCCGATTGCTTACCATCAGGTGATCCGTAGGCTCGTTTACCGGCTTATGCCAAAAAAAAACATTTATAAAAGAAAACTAATAATAAAAATAAACTCACCACTGATCACCCAAGTTATTCAACGACTGTGACAACGAACATTGTCCCACAACATTATTCAAGTCAGCGAGGGAACAAGCTTGCCTTAACCTCGCCACCAGCTTATGAGGAATACTCAAACTTTGAGACGAGCTCGAACAATCACTCCCAACGCACTTACTTCCGTCCGTACTCTCAACATTAATCTTCGGAACGTCACTGTCACTTTGACATTGACATTTGCAGCCAGAGTTGCCAGCTTCAGCAGAAATGGTAGGATTGGTAGAATTGTTAATTGTCGGTCGATTTACAGAACGATGTATATTAGGATCTGAGGCGTACGTTTGACCGAATTTTTCAGGGAAATGCACGGTTTTCTTGTATTTATTCATCATTGAGTGTTGGTACTGTCCTCTGCGAGGTGATGTGTTTCGGGAGCGGTTTGGTGAGGTGTACGCTGAAGAAGTTTGTGTGGGACGCTTTAGTTTCGGATTTTTCAGCTCGTATTCTGCCGCTATCGCTTCGAACACCTGAAAATTGAGTGTTTAAGTGTTTAAACTCAAGTTTTAGCGGCGTTACTTATGTAGAATTTAAAATTATGTGTAGGTTTATTTATTGATTGTTAACATAACATGACATAACGCCTTTTATCCCCAAATGTGTAGGCAGAGGTGCACATTATGCCGTGTACAATGTAACACCCACTTTTCACTATTTATGTTATGAGTCAATAATGAGATAAGTGTAAAAGCTTTTTACCCACCTGTTCAGCAACTAAGTTCCTTGCGTAAGGAGAGTTCTTGGATGGCAGAGCTTCCCTGCATAACGCACAGCGCTCCAACCTGATCCAGCAAGCTGAAAACATAAGGAAATTGATGAGGAGAAGAAAATTTTACGTGTGATAGTACTTCGGCACTGGTCTGCCGACCGGAGTGATACAACGGCCGAGCTGTACACCGGCGGCACCAGCCTGTGGGTGAGGGCACTAAAGTCAAAGTCAAAGTATTTATTTCAATTAAACTGTCGAACACCAAGCGGTCACCGGTGACCGCAACCTATTGTTCTATAATGACGGTACTCGACGAGTTAAACCTTAATTTGGTACTTTTGGAACGTAAACAAATACAAAATAAATAATAGTCTGTCAATCAGTCCGTCAGTGAAGCTAGGTGCTCTTTCCAAAATGTAGATTCGAATGGAGAAGAACGAGCAAGAAACTCCATTCATTACTCTTTTTAAAAAAGTCTGTTTTATATTGTCTGATACGTATTCCAATATTGTACGTATATGCAGTGGTGTGCAGTCCATATAGGCAAGAAGGCTTAAACTGTCAAACACCAAGCGGTCACCGGTGACCGCAACCTATTGTTCTATAATTGTGTCCACAAAACCGGCACTCGACGAGTTAATGGACAGAGGACCTTAATCAGGTGTAAAAAAGTAAATAACTATTAACGCGCGAGCATTTGGGAAGGAATTCATTCAGTACGAAACATAGAGTTAAGACCTTGTCCACAAAGGGCGAATTCGCCGCGAAACGATTCGCGCGGAATTATTCGCGCGTTAGTGAGATACTAGACAACAATACATCGCGTCAATACAATACGCGCGAATTCAAAATACGCGCGTAAATCGCGTGCACTACGCCAGACTCTCGACTCGCTCTTGATTCGCAGGTATTGCGCGCGAGTTGAGATACTAGAGACGCCTTGTTCCGTCCAGTTAACGCGCGAACTTTAGAGCGAGCGTTTAACTCCATGTTTCGTACTGAATGAGTTCCTCCCCAAATGCTCGCGCGTTGTCACATACCTTGTGGACGCAACGGTCGCGCGTCAAACGTGCAAGAGAATCGCGGCAAATTCGCCTTTTCTGGACAAGCTCTAAACGCTCGCTCTAAAGTTCGCGCGGAACAAGGCGTCTCTAGGACGGGGGCGGGCGTCGAGCGATTTTACCGCCACAGAACGCGCCACAAGGCAACACAACCTACTAATGTGAATCTATTCATAGTGAATGAACGTAAGCGATTGCGTTCTGGCGCGTCCCGACACACAATATGAACCTAGCTTAAGTTAGAACAACACAATCAAATCACAACCTTTGCTAATGATTCCAAATTAAAACATTTAACTAGATTGAACAATTAAATGCTCCCATGGGATAAGAAACGAAAACGCGGAAAATCCGCGGGTAGAAGCTATATAGTTAGTTACTCACGTTCGCAGTAGACATGCGAGCGCGCGCAGGACAACGGCCTGGTGGCGGTGGACGCGCACACGCAGCACGCAAGCGCGCGCACCACGCCCGACAGCGCGCGCCGGGACTTCTCCCCGCGGACACCGCCGCCACAACTCCATAGCAACTGCACAAATAACGTAGATCGATGAGAGCAAGTTTTGTTCATCAATATAACTAAGACATCACCCACAAAGGTCGTGTGTCTCAATGAGGACTATTATATTTTTAACCGACTTCAAGTAGTTAGTTCAATTTCACCTGTATGTATATAATTGGGTAGTTTCCACGGTATCAAAATAAAAAATCTAATTAGTCCGTCAGTTAGATAATGAAAAAATATTAGACACGTATTTTTTTATTTTCTAGCATTAAGTTGCAATACTTCGATAAAATGGCGCTAAGTTTAGAAGTGGGAGGTCGTTACGTCATAACGTGCTACAAGATGTGGCACGCCGTGACGTCACACGATATTTCAAATTAATATATCAGCGTAAGTATTTAATTTGGTGAGAAAAGAAAAAAATACGTGTCTAAGTTTTAAATTAATGTATATTAAAATAAAATTTAGGAAACTACCCTATTCGTCATGAGCTAATGGTAACATGTAAACAGTGACCCGTGTCATATGAAGCGTACCTCGGGGTCATCCTTGGGATCCACTCCACAGTTCCACACGATCAGAGAGACTCCTCCACCTTCACCATCCCCTCTTATCAGACCAGCTACTTGACTCACCTGGAACATATAAAAACACACAGTGAAATCATCTATTTTGTTTCCGTCCCCGCGGCAAAACAACTCGCCATAAGGACTACTTCGATGTATAAAGTAAAAACAAAACAATAAAGATGATTTTTTTTAGTTTAAGAACAAAATCATGGCAATACGCACATGAAACACTAGACGTAAAGTAGGCACTACTGCATCGCACGTGCCACCCGACGAGAAATACCTCTTCGACAATGACATGGCGTGATGTTTTGATAATGTACTATGAGTTCGTGTGCGCTTTCGAAGTTCGTTTTTTGCAATGGTTCACCAGTTACTTTTTGATTGTAAAACTATTGTATTACCGAGACAGAACCATTTTACTTCGGGACGAAAACAAAATCCATTTCACGATGTATAAAGGCTATTTAAAGTACATTTTCAATGCGCTCTATTCCACCAATCAAGTCATATATCACTTTCGTTTGATATCCATAATGGAGGTAGTTCTGGAATATTACTAAACACTAAATCAATCTATGTGGACTACTCATAATATCAGTCAGAATCGTGGCGTTTGGCTTTATATTGCTTTAACTTATCCTATTTTTTTTTATATATTCGGTGGCGCGACGTTTGCCCACTGTCTCGCCTGGTTGTAAGTGTTGATGCGGTCTACGATGGAGCACGTCGTCCCATAAGCAATTCACTCAGGCCTTGAAGACTCCCAAGTCATACCCTTCAGGAAATACCGACTCTGGCAAAGAATTCCACTCCTTAGCAGTACGCACAAGCACAAGGAAGCTTGATGCGAAGCGCTCCGTGCGTGTGGGTGGGACATGTACCATGAATCGGTGACTTACCGGGAGACCAAGCAGATCCTTTCCATCAGCTTGTAGGAGACAGTCTCCGGGTTTGAGTCCTGCTTCATCAGCTCTTCCGTTTGGTGTTACTTCCCGTACCTGAATATAATAAAATCAAGCTATTTTAGTGGCATAGAACGGTATACGGAAAAAACTACGCAACGAATTTTGATAGGGCTTTTTAATTAATAGAATGATTCAAAAAGAAGGGGTGGTATGTCATCATCAAAAGCAGGAAGACATCCACTGCTGGACAAAGGCTAAGTCCTCCACGTCGATAGATTAAAAAAACCAGTAATATTTTTCCCGAGCCGGGAATCGAACCCGAGACCCCTTACCGGGCAGTCGCTCTTGCGACCACTCAGCCAACGAGGCAGTAGTATAAGAAAACAATACTTTGATAAAACGAATCAAAGTTTAGGAGTGGGGGCTAAAACGTCATTTCTACGTATAAAATGTACATAGAAGTGACGTCACGCGATATTTCAAATCAATATATCGTCGAAAGTATTCGTTTCTGTAAGAAAATAAAAAATACGGGTCTAATGATTTCAAATAATCTACCAGACGGACATTGATAATAAATTTTATCATTTACATTGTCATACATAGATATTACATGGATCTCGTAAAATAAATAGTGAAAAGTGGGTGTTACATTGTACAGTGGCAACAAGTACCGTAATGTGCACCTCTGCCTACCCCACCGGGGATACAGGGCGTTATGTTATGTCATGTGACATAGATAATAATGTAATAGGGTTACGATAGTTATTGTAAAAACAAACATACACTCTCTCATTTTCACATGATTAGAATGGAGTAGATGCCTAGTTTTTATTTTAATGTCCGTCTGGTAGATTATTTTAAACTAGCTTTTACCCGCGGCTTCGCTCGCGTCACAAAAGGATAAAAAGCAGTCTATGTGACATATACCAATACATACAGCGCCATCTATACCAATACTTTTGTTTTCCCTCGGCAATATCAAATTTTTTCGGGATAAAAGTACCCTATTATTTAATCCAGACTACTATCTTTACGTCTGCAAAAATTCAATGCAATCGGTTCAGTAGTTACGGCGTGAAGTCGGAACAAACAAACAAACAAACAAACTCACTTTCCCATTTATAATATTATTTTAAATCATTAGACACGTATTTTTTATTTTCTTACAGAAACGAATACTTTCGACGTTAAATTGATTTGAAATGTCGCGTGACGTCACTTCTATGTACGTTTTATACGTAGAAATGACGTTTTAGCCCCCACTCCTAAACTTTGATTCGTTTTATTATACGACAAAATAAAAAAACACGTGTCTAATATTTTTTCATTACCTAACTTACGGACTAATTAGATTTTTAATTTTCATACCCTGTCATCATCCCAATTGTACTTACCCAAGGATATGGATCCCATAGAGTCCTGGTGAGTCGGAAGCCCAGCCCTTCGCCCTCATCTTCCGGGAGATTTAACTGTTAACATACAACAATAATTATAATCATACCATCAGCCATACTGCCCACTGCCGGCAGTGTTGGCGCTGTGGTTGCCCAACTGATTGCCGCTCACTCAACGTGTCATCATCATCAACAGCCTATAAGTGTCCACTGCTGAGCAAAGGCCTCTTCTCACACGGAGAAGATTTAAGCATTAATCACCACGCTTGCTCAATGCGGATTGGCGATTACAAACTTATAATTAGAAATTATAAGCCCAGGTTTCCTCACGATGTTTTCCTTCACCGTTTGTCAGTGGTGTCTAGATAATCTTAGAAAGTACATATAACTCGGGAAAAGTCACATTGGTACTTGCCGTTGGTAGGTTTCGAACCCGCACCCTCATGCTTGCGAAACGACCACGCTCAACGTGTAATGGATTCGATTCCCGCACGGAACAACGCTTTGTGTGATCCACAGATTGATGTTCCGGGTCTGTGTGTCATGTGTATGTGAACTTGTATGTTTGTAAACGCACACACGACACAGGAGAAAATCCTAATGTGGGGCAACGTTTTTTTAAAAAAACAATGTTATTTTGATTTATGTATCGTATTTTTTTTTTTAAGGGGGGAAAATCATCGAATGACTGCTCCCACCTGGGTGAGGCGGGAGGGAGTGTCAGACTCTTACTGACTAAAAACCACCCCGTTCCTTCTCCTGCACATCGAGCCGGAGCCCCGGTTACCCGTTAGGTTCTCCGCGACTCCGAATCGACTTATGTATCGTATACATGTAGGTAGTAAAAAGCGGTTATTTTAATATTACAAACATACACTCCAATTTTATTTATCTGTATAGATTATTAGATAGTTACAAAGACCAGAAATATCAATTTATAGATCACACAAATGAGTTGGTGCACATGGGAATCCACGATACATTTTTATTGTACATACGGCTACACATCGAACTTTAATAACCAGTATAAACTGAACGTTAAATGTGCGGAAAGATGATTCGACGCGACACCAGGATAAACTGGTTTTGTATAGATTGATGTGTGGTCGTGTGCACTCAACAGTCGGCAGTTAAATCGTGTGAGCTTTAACCTCAAATTCGACACGGTCAAGGCCAAATACCATTTCAAAATCAAAGTGTGGGAGAGCCTTGCTTCGGCACGAATGGGTCGGTTCAACCGGAGTGATACCACGGCCGAGCAGAAAACCATAGTGAAACAACCACAGCGTCGTTTTTCGTCCCCTCCCCCCTTCCCCAATCTCCCCAATCCCTGAATCCCCAACAATCCTCTTTCTAATCCCCAAAAGGCCGATAACGCAGTTGTAACGCCTCCGGTGTTTCAGGTGTACTTGGACGACGGCGATTGCTTACCATCAGGTGATCCGTATGCTCGTTTACTGACTTATCCCGTAAAAAAATGGAAGTATACATTTAATATCGTTCGCCAATCGTTGGCCAAGTGGTCGCAAGTGCGACTGCCGGGCAAGGGGTCTCGGGTTCGATTCCCGGGTCGGGCAAAGATATCTGGGTTTAAAAAAAAATCTCAGTAGTAGCACGGAGTCTGGAATTGTGCCCGGTATATGCTCACCCCCTATTACGTGGGACTCATAACATAAATAGTGAAAAGTAGGTGTTACTTCTGTGTGCACCTCTGCGGCAAATCCCTTCGGGGGTAATAGGCGTGATGTTATGTTATACATTTAATACATGCATATCAGTCCACCCACTCATGAGGAACCACTTCCTCGTCTCTCGGACAGTTCCGAATGCGGCTGACATTGACATTAAAACGAATAATAAGACACCTTCACATTTTGTACCTCCCACGATGCATAACCTCGCTCGAACGAGTTTATCAAACAAACAGCGTTACTGACTGGCTTTTACTCCGTGTACATTATATTTACAGTCGACTGCACTATGAGTCTCCTCTACATAAGAGGAGTTTGTCGCAATCTCCGCAGGCAGGCGGGTTGGAGGTCGCAGTATACAAGGTTCAGGTATATCAGAGAGAGACAGATGCGTCTCTGAGAAACGTATTGATTTCGGCCGAAATAATATTCAAATTCTATAAGTTAGATCGATTTTTGACATTACCTACTTGCATGACCGTCCAGAGATTTCGAATTTAGCATCCAATCGCTGTAAAAAAGGGTTCAGGTTTATCAGAGAGCGCTGCTGCACGGTCTCTGTCTAATGTGGAGTTAATCACGGATATATGAGAACAATAATAAATATGTTTCCGTCAGGCAATATCGTCATATTTATATTTGAATTCGGAAATCGATTTATTTTATGATTTACGATTTCCTTTAAGTCATTCAACGGTTTCTTGACTCATTTCAGAAGTCGCGAATGTCAAGCGACCGCCATTTCAAGTCCATGGCGAAGGTTGTAAACAAGTTAGTGTTGTTTTGACGACATTGTTATTGATTTTAAAATAAGTGTGGAGATTATGACAAACCCTCTTATGTAGAGGAGACTCATAGTGCAGCAGTGGACTGTCAGCCGCTGTAGATGATCAGTACTTACGAGTACAACTCTAACACCTTCAGGATATTGTTCTTCATCATTGTCTGTGGTCGAAGACACCTCGGTTGCTGGTGGCTCCATCTGCTGGATGAAATTATAAATACTGTTAATTTTATTGTACGAAGAGAATTAGCTGGAGGTCCAGAGCATCAATGGACTACCACTGCGGCAATTTCATAAGCTATGACCTTTTTTTAAGGGGGAGAATCATCCAATGACTTCTCCCGCCTGGGTGAGGCGGGAGGGAGTGTCAGACTATTAACTGACTAAAAACCACCCCGTTCCTACTCCTGCACTTCGAGCCGGAGCCCCGGCAACCCTTTAAGCCTTCCGCGGCTCCGTATCGGTATCAGCCCTATTGGGCCGTACGCTTGGGTCTGAATCTGGGCGAAGGGCGAGCTGCCGTTGCACGCCGTCCGCAGGCCCGTGCTGACGGTGGCCAGAGATCGTCGCGCGATCCCCGATGCCTGGACTGTCTCTGGCGACGGCTAGAGCGTGACTTCCCTCACGCGCCCTGACTCCTCCTCAGCTAGCATGACGGCTTCGTAGAAAGAAGGGGACGGCATCTCAGACCCCTTCAGACAGTACCACGGTCGGAACCAGACCCGTGAAAGGTCGCCGTCACCGATCACATCCCTGAGGACACGGCGATGCTCAGCCCACGCAGGACACACCGCCACCGTATGCTCCACCGTGACCTCCGGACGGTCCTTGCAGTGAATAGACCTAATATTTTGAATCTAATAAATGATTACTAAAACTGTACCTTAGTACCTAACGATTTCGTTCCAAAAACAATACCTAAGGACTGAGTTAAGTGGTACCTCACAGAAAACCGACGCGAAACAACGCTTGCGTTGTGTTTCGTCGTGTGAGTGAGGTTACCGGAGGCCCAATTGTCCTAGTCTAGACGGGGACTAGGGACGGCCCTAGTCCCCGTCTCCCGAAGCCCCGAATCCTCCACAATTCTCAAATTCCCAATTCCCAAAAGGCCGGTAACGCACTTGTAACGCCTTGGTGTTTCGAGTGTGCATGGGCATTGCTTACCATCAGGTGATCCGTCTGCTCGTTTACCGGCTTATAAAAAAAGGGGTAATTGAATGACTCTGAGTGTGGCGATGTCTCAACAATTACGCTTGCACATACTAGACCAACATTGTTAATAACAATTTTCTTATTAAACACAATAAACTAGTTATGACAATAATGTACAAGGAATGTCGACAATGTCTATAATATTTATTGTTTATTTCTTAACTCTTTGATTAGTTCCGTCTGTTGTTTTACTGAAATGCAACATCAACAATAGTAAGTGTCCACTACTGACCAAAGGCCTCTTCTCACAGGTTTGAGAGCATTAATCACCACGCTTAATGGGGCGGGAGGAAACGCCCGGGTGTCATCACTGCGAGGACCGCCCTGAGGACACGGTGGAACACACAGTGGGGGCATGCCCTGCTTGGGCTGAGCACCGCCGTGCCCTCAGGGACGCGATCGTGAGTCGCGGAGAACCTAATAGGTTACCGGGGCTCCAGCTCGAGGTGCAGGAGAAGGAACGGGGTTGTTTTTAGTCAGTAAGAGTCTGACACTCCCTCCCGCCTCACCCAGGCGGGAGCAATCATTCGATGATTTTCCCCCGTTAAAAAAAATCACCACGCTTGCCTAATGCGGGTTGGCGATCTCAAACTCATAATTAAGAATTATAAGTCCAGGTTTCCTCACGATGTTTTCCATTCACCGTTTGTCTACATAATCTTAGAAAGCAGGTAGGTACCTACATGCTGGCTTCTGCCCGCGTTCCAGACCATATAACCTTTCCCTGTTCCAAATTTCAACACGATCCCTTCACCCGTTTTGAGGTGGTTGAATAACAAACACACACAAACTCACATTCACTTTCGCATTTTATAATATTAAGAAAGATAACTCGGAAAAAGTCACATTGGTACCTGCCGTTAGTAAGTTTTGAACCGCACTCTCGTGCATGTGAAGAGGGCGTTTTAAACCTCCGGGCTTCCACACGTAACATTCGATTGTGACAGGTAAACGATGTTTAACATTTCACCTTTGATTTCAATAAAATAAAAACAATACGAATTTTGTTTTGAAAATATGACAATCGTACAAATATAGTTTTGTTTTAAAAATTGTAAAGTGTCATAGGTAATTCGTATTTTTAAAATAATCATACAATTGTTCTTTTTACTGATTACATGAATATCGAGTCATGAATGACCGATTGTTAAAAATATCCAAGGAATTACGCAAATCTAAATAAATGCGAAAGTGTGTCTGTTTGTGTATAGGTATGTCTGTCACACTCTGTCTGTTTAATAATCTAGCACTTAATGAAAAAAAAACAAAATGTATTAAATTCAGTTTACCAAACGTGCGTAGTAACGATTGTGAT